GGGGAGCTGATCAAGACGAGCATAGCAGAAAGCAAGAGCGGTGTCAATGGCAGGTTCTCGAAGAGTCTTGCGCGCCATGCGGAGATACTTGACAAGTTCCTCGTTTTTGCCAGCGTGGGTGGCGATTTCAATGACCTCAGCATGGTTTCTGGGGTCGTCGGCCTTGATGTAAGAGTCGATAGCATCGGGTACACGGAGCCCGTCAAGCTGAGCCTTGGCAACTTTGCTCCAGACCTCGGGAATATCAACCTCCTCAGCGTAAGCCTGGGATCGGTCGATGCTGACAACATGTTCAACAAGAACATCGACAGCAGCAGACTTGTTGTCGGCCTTTTTGTAAATCTCAAAGGCTTCTTCGAACAGACCGACATCGATACACGACGTGGCAATGTCGTCCGCATTGTAACTGTCAAGTTTGTGAATATAGTCCATAACACGACCCTTGTCAGCCTTGGCACCAGTGAACAGCAAGAGGTTCTGCAAGTTCTGGTTGTCGCTGAAGGGAGATGGTTCAAGTACAATCTTCTCAAGAAGCTCAATGAGCTCAAGCGGAAGGTCGTTCTCAAGGAAGGAGGCGACAGCAACAGACACTTTAGCAGGGTCTGTTGATTCGGGAACAGCAGTAGCAGTGACCTGGTCAACGACAGATCGACGATGGATGTTGTTCTCGCTGAGGACAAAGTTCCACAGCTCGCTATCTGATCGTTCCAAGAGGTAGCGCGCTTGGGCACGGTACATGGAGTTCTCGTTGGTGATGTTGACCAATTCTAGATCATTTTGGCCCTTGGAGTAGGCAATGTATGCCAAGTTGGGGTCACGCTTCTCGCAGTATTTACCAACTGTGAGTGTATCATATTGGTCGTTCTCCTTGAGGAACTTCTCGGGGTTGTTGTTCGAGTCAATGTAAATCTTAGCCAGAGCATTATAAACAGCCTGCTGCTGGTTACCAGACTGGAGGGTAGCCTCAAGGAAGGGCAAAAGGAGCTTCAATCGGTTGCGCGACTCTACTTCAGACACTAGCTCATCAATATTGATCTGCTGAGCATTGACGGTGCCGAGTAGCTGCTTAATAATATTCTCATCACAATCGACGTCGAGAAGGCCGCCAACTACAGCAGGAGTCCTGCCGGGGTTAACACGCTGGACATAGGACTCAATGGCCTGGAACTGCTGGTTCTGATACAGGTATAGAATTAGATCATGGACGAAGTTGAAACGATCGCAAACAATAATGAGGGGAAGCTGTTCTGGTAGTCTGGCTTCCTTCAAAAAGTTTTTGACCTTTTCAGGATTGTAGTAATTGCTGTCACGACAAATTCGTTCGACCTCATTCAACTGGTTGGACTTTGTTGCGGCCTCGATGTACTTGAAGTGGACATCGGGGTCCTCGGAGAGATTGACGATGCTGCCAAGGTAGTAGAAGAGACCTTCTGCGGTTTTGTACTTCTCGAACAAGTCAATCAGACGAACAGGACCAAGAAGCTCAGAGTACTTGGTTGCAATGTTGACAACAGACTGAAGATTCTGGCGAATGTTGTGTTTCAACATAGCGTCGAGACAGTCAAGCGATTGCTCAACAGAAAGCTTGCTAAAGAAGTTGCTAAACCATTCGGGGTTGAAGTTGGTGGTGCCGGGAATGTTGACAATGACGCGCTTGATAGCCTCGGGGTCCTCATACAGCTCAAGTGCCTTTTGAGGAAGACCAGCCTGCTCGCAGAGGTTGGCGATGCGGCCCTTGTCAAAGTGAGTGAACATGTCATTGCCCAGAATAGCCTCAGCAACTTGGGGGGCGTTCATCAAGTTCATCTCTAGGAGTCTGGTCTGGAGGCGGGCATGCTCAGGCTTGTTGTCCTTCAAAGCATCCAGAAGAAAGGCCGTGGCCTGTTGGATCATGCCCTGGCCCTGGAAGATGTCACAAACACGCTCGAAGTCAACCAACGAGCCTTGCTCATTGTTTGCTAGAGCCGTGGCAAATTCAGCGCCCTTCTCGGGATTGCTGCGGATGATGTGCTGCAAGAGCTGGATGTAATCGGGCTGGTAGCCAGTTTGAGCGGTATAAGGCAGAATCTTGTCAAATTGACCGGTTTCTGCAAAGCCGGCGACCACTTTGTGAGGCACATTCGCTTTGAGGTAGACAGTCAATGCCATGTTGACATCGTAAGGTCGAACCATATCGCCGAGTTGTTCGGAGCAGTCCAGCTTGCCTTCCGTGAGCCACTTTTCGAGTAAATGCTTTCGGTTCTGTTGCAGAACAGGCTGGGCGAGCTCAAGGGTTTCATGTCTGTTCAGGCCACCCTTGTCGAGGAGCATACCAAAGTACTGGAGGGTGAATGCCATCTGGCCAGGCTGGGCGGGGAGCCTCTTGAACTTCTCAATCGTCTCGGGGGTGCGGAGGAAGCCGCGTGGGGAGTTGGCGGCAATCTTGGCAGCCTCCAGGTAACTTCCAGAGTTGAACAGCTGGTCGAACTGTCTCGCATAAAGGTTGTCCGCGCCAGGCAGTCCAGCCCGTGAGGCCAGTTTGATGGCAATCTCAGTGTTGGCAGGGTTCTCGAGAAGGTAAGGGATGATTGTGGTTTCATCAACAGTGACGAAAAGAACCTGGCCCTTACGATTGATGCCCACAAGACCGGATGACTCGTCGTCGGCACAGCTGGTGAAGATTGTGTCGCTGGAAATTCGGTTCATGAAGATCAAAGTACCGGTCTCAAGGTCGTACAAATGGATAAAACCATACTTGGTGACCATGAAGATGACACCATATTTTTGAGAAATCTGCAAGGCTACAGGAAAGTCGTTGGTTGCCTCGGGAGGGAAGAAGATCTCAACAGCCTTCTTCTGGAAGACTGGGTTGGATTCGGCATGATCGACTTCGACAACGTGCAACTTGGCACCGGTGGCTGTTCGAACGGCGAAACTGAAAAGCTTCGTGTCTTGAGGAGCACCCTCAAGGCGCAGTGACCCAAATGATGCGGCATGGCCCTCAATGGCCTGACTGATGCCACGATCCTTGGAGTACAGCTGCATGGCACCGACTACACGGCCCTGCTGGGATGAAATACCAACCACCACCATCCATTTGCCGTCCTCGTTAGCACGGTAGTTGATGATTTGGCAGCCCTATTGCGCAAGTATTAGTTCAGATTGTACTGTCTTGTCTGGAAATAGTTTCATGCAACGAACATTGAGGTTGGCATTTCGCTCAAAGACCTTGGAAGGCGCATCTTGTCCGGCATCGTAGACGTCCCAATGGTAAACACTGGTGGTCGTGACGAGGCCCAGAGTAGACTCGCTGATCCACTTCCAAAACTGCACGTCCTCGTTCATGGTGCATGACTTTAATTTTTTCTTTTGCTCCAAGTCAAAAATCTGCAACGTCCGTGATTGGGCCTTCAAGGCGATGATCTGTCTGTTCCAGTGCATGATGGCACTGTCGGCCTTGATTGGCCTTCGCGTCACGTTGTTGCCATTTTTGAGCTCAACAATAACGACCTCGGGTTGAGCAGCCTCGTTCTTCTTCTCACGGATACACACATATGAATCGGATTCGAGTGTCTAAGATCAAGGCCGAGGTTCTGTTAGCCGTTGATGCCATGTTTGCTCAATCTTTTGCTGCTGGCCAGTCTAGAAAGATGCGGACGGTCAGTGGTACTTACGCAGGAGTTGAAGCCGATTGATTGCGTGTCCACTCCAACGTTGGCGAGTTGGACCAACTCCTGAAACTTGATGGGCAGAGGCGCCATTGCGCCTTAGTTCAGCTGTTACGTCACGTTGAACCAGGCTGGATATAAAACTCGAAGCCTCAAGCTATGGATGCGAGTAATCTGTCGCAAATCCACTGTTTCGTGGCCGATGTCCCGATGATGCTGTCAATGTGGGTTCAGCAACGACAGGAGAAGTTGACGGAAGCTTCCATGCGCCAAACGGCAAGAGCGGGAAGCGGGAAAGTAGCTGCAGGACGAGACAACGTGAGCCGAAAAAAATTGAACGAGTAAAGGACCGGTAGAAGCAAGAAAGAGTGCGGGTGGGAGTCGCGTCCGTGAGCTGCTGGTGGCAAGCAGATGGACTCGTAGAGGGAGATGAAAGTGGTGATGATTTCGTTGTTCAGAGAGGGTAAAGGAGGTAAAGGTTAGGTCCCCCTTTGGGCCATCTGTTCTTCACGAACCTGGGCAGGCGAGCAGGCCAACAGCATCCATGTGGGGGCGCAGGCTTGGGGTGAGCCAATTGAGAGCTGCAGGAACAAAGAAATTCCGCTCCAGCAGCGCACTGGAAGCCAATAGCTTCTCGTAAATGCAATGCTAAATGCTGCTAATGTCCCATCTGGCACGTGAAACGTCATCAAGCAGGCGCGGATGGCACAAAAGTTGCAGCTTCAATTGGGAGTCGACAACTTTCTACGCGTGCCTGGGCATGTTTTCGTGCCATGGCCAGTCTCACTCTCCAATTGCACACAAATATTGCTGTCGCATCGTCTTCATCTTCAATGAATCTGTCTTCCCCTCTTTTGCCCACACCCAAGAGCTATCGGGCGCTGTCACTGCTGCCTAAGACATGTGATTGCTTCCCACAGCTCTGCTCGGAGTGGAGACGTCATGAACACTTGATGGTCCTCGCTTTTAAAGTTGTGGGCACTGTCAGATACCAACGACATCAGTCAACTCGACCTGTTGTCGTCTGTCCCAGGAGAAGTTGTAGATATCGTTGACCATGACAGTGAGTCTATCTCCCGTAATACATGCATTCGCAGGCTCATCGTGGAAAAATGTTGGTGTCTGTTATTGCAAGTCAGTCTATCAGTCCGAGGTTGCCTCGATGACAGGAAGTGTCCAGCATCTGCCACTGCATTCGTTAACCCTCACAGGTAGAGACAGCCTGGAGTTGCGAACAGCTCAGAGCATGATAATGGCGAGATTGTTTTGGAGTCTACGTAGATATACGTATATAAAGGAAAGTTCTCGGGCCAATTGTAGACCAAACAAGCTCGTATCTACGGAGTATGCCATCTAAGAATACGCCTTGACCATGTTCAGCAAGGCTTCATCAACTTCCTTGGGACTGGTGGCATTCAAGTAATGACCACCGCCCTCAACAAAAGTCAACGTCGCCTCTGGCGCACTCGTAAACAGCTTAATATGCTCCTTGGGCACAACATCACCAAACACCGGATCCTTGGCACCCTACGCGTCACTCGGCGTCAGCGGACAAACACAAAGGTCCAAAGATCTGAGATGAATGATTGAAACATACCTGGAGCCAATGGACGGGACACTTGACATCTCGCAGTCGGAAGAGCAAGCCATCTCTCTCCAGCAGACACACCAAGGCCATGCGCAACTTCCTGCGCCCCTCATCCCCAGAGTAGACCTTCTTCAGAGTTTCGTCCCAGAACGACAAGATCTCTGGCGCAACAGTTCCCGAGAAGCCCAGCTGGGCAACCATGCCACGCCACACTTCATCCACGACAAAGTCAGGAGTAGGCGTGGCGCTGCACCAGCTATCATAGAAGGGAAGAAGCTGGCTCTGGGGGTCCCAGCAGCCTTTCTCTCGGGAAGCAGCTGATTCGGAGTCCATCGAAGTGCCGAGGGGAAGCAGCCCAAGGATCTAGGAATGGTTCAACTTGATTGTCACATCTTGGCTGCATGTTGTGATTTTCTTTCGTTTTGGGAATCAGGAATGAAACGCTGGCAAAGGAATAAAGCGGACCTTGGACGTGGGGAGACAAAACATACCCTGTCTGGAGCCAGGAGGGCCATGCGAACGACCACCCATCCGCCCTGGCTTGTTCCGACGGCGAAAGCCTTGTTGACTTTGAGCGCATCCATGACCTGGAGGGCCATGGTGGCCGTGTCCCAGTATGTGAAGTGCTCCGAGGCAGAGCGTGTGGCGCCATGGCCGAGGGGCTCGATGGCAAGCAGGTTGACGGCATCCGTCAGCGTCGTGTTCTCAAACTGGACATTGTAAAGCGAGGACGTGGTGCACATGGAGTTGATGAGCACAACGGTCGGCTTGGTGGCATCGATGGCTCCGTCGGAGAGTCGATATCCAGCGTCGATGCCCCCGAGATGTGGGACCTTGATGGTTGTGGTTGCCGCCATGGCGATGCAGGAAATGTGACGGAGGAGAAGGAAAAGAGACAAGAGGTTTCGTTGGGCAGGGCTTCGTTCTTAATGATGCTAACTGCCGCCCTGTGAAACCAGCACCTCTTTACCGAATCCGGCGACCTCGGCATGCATCCCTGATGCTATACTACATACTTGACATGACAGAAAACGTGGCCGGGCCTAGCGACTTTATCTAACGGCTAAGCATCTCGTGGCTTGTTGGCCGATCCACCATCTATTGAATAAGATTTATCGAAGCCCGTGGCCGTTGCAGGGCCTCTTACAGAGTCTGAAGTTCTGAACCAAGGCAGGCTTCGGACCACATTTCCTGTCTTGTACAACGTTGTACGGAGTACGGAGTACGTCGACGTACATATTGTGGTGTGGCAGGCAGGCAGGCACATCATCAACCCTGCACAGTGCCAAGTGCGTTCTTTTCTTGGATGGACATGGACGTGGTTGCCACCAGATCAAGCGGGTGCCTCATAACTCGACAGGCTCTGGAGGCAAGCCATGACTAGTGCACATGTGCTGTTGCCGTCACTCCACTTGTTGCGCCAATTTGATATTACGACTAGTATTTCTCTCTCGTTGATCCCAATCACGGGAGTGGACGGCACGCACCGCTAGCGGCACTGGAGAAGAAATCAATTGAGTTTGGTCGTTTTCAAGTTGGCAGCTAACTGCCGGCGCAGTGGGCTGCATCTTTGCAACCAAAGTGTGCCATAGCTGGGGGATTATACATATTACTGCCTGCCATACGGGACTTGTACTACCTTGGACAACTGGGCAGGCAGACAAGATATCGGCATAGACTTGAGTTGGCTGGGCCGAATCCTGGCATACATGTATGTCACCAAAAGCGGATACAACTCCCAACCTGCCACGAACAAGCTGTCCATCACGCTTGGCCCGCTATCCCGACTTGGGCAGACAAAAATGATGTGTCAAGCCTCCAAATATGGGTCTCCCGAGCTTCTATGATGGTGATAGGTGACGACGATCCCATGGCCGCCAGGGACCAAAAGTGCTCTAGTCAGTCGCTCAGGGGATGGATGGCCGGGACGAACCCAGGTGCCGTTTGACAGGCAGAAATATGTATTGTCCCTACAACGAGGAGTTTCCTGTACCTCGGGAAGGGGAAGGGATGGAAAACGGCAATGTGGTTCTTAACATAAAGCCGGGGCTATATTACCAGACAGTTTCATTTGTTCCGTCAAGTGTTGCATTCTCAGGATAACATCGCATTCTGGTGTTGGCTACCCTTGGATGGCAACTGATGGCATCTGACAACTCCGAGTCCAAGCTACCTGGGCTCCCGGGCTATGATGCACACAATTTGCAGCCGTGGACTGTGCAAGTCGTTGTTGCTGTGACAGTCCTGGCGCTGGCGGCCGTCGGACTGCGTCTTCTCAGTCGTCACATCAAACACCAGCAACTATGGCTGGATGATAAGATGATCATGTTCTCCATGGTGAGCCCGCAAACAACGTTCCGGCCGAGACATTTCATTGCCAAACATGTACGGCTAACTTTCTCATAAAACCCCCCCTCCAGGGCTGGAACCTGGTTGTTGTAGGCTTCATCTTTGCCATGTATTCGTCCGGGATGGGCCTCCATGCCGACAAGGTCGACCCGGCCGACATCGTCATGATGGCCAAGTGGTTGGTCGTGGCCGAGGTTCTCTATGCGTGGAATCTAGGCTGGACCAAGATGAGCTTGTTGCTCATGTACTATCGCATCTTCCGCCTGCCGTACTTCAAGAAGATGGCCTGGGTCGTCGGGGCCTTTGTCTGGGCCTGGGTCATTTGCATCACCTTCTTATTCATCTTCATCTGCGTACCGGTTCAGAAGCTGTGGTATCCGCAGATTCCCGGAAGATGCATAAACCAAGTCGGCACCTGGATATCCAACGCCGCCTCCACCATCTTCACCGACCTCGTCATCCTGCTGATGCCCATTCCCCAGATATGGAAGCTCCAGCTGCGGAAAACCGAGAAAATCGGTCTCACACTCGCCTTCAGCCTTGGTTTCTTGTAAGCCCCCCCCCCCGACTTCACCACTTCTCCGCCACGCTCTGTTAAGATGGTGTTACCATTCTGACATGATTTGTTCATTTCGCAGTGTCGTATTTGCGTCGGCCTACCGCACAAGCGTCCTCTTCACGTACACGGCCAAGGACCCGACATACACACTCGCCCCCACGGTGGGATGGACAGCCATTGAAATGTCGGCGGGCATCGTGTCGGCATGCCTGCCTACCCTTCTCCCCATTGCGCTTTGCTGCGCGCGAGCGTTCGGCCTCACACGAACCGCGAGTGTGCCCAGTAGGGAGACCAACGCTCCGCCGACATTTGGTGGTTCCGGCGGCAACAAGACCAAGTTGAAGAGCGGACTGAATACGTTGACCAACTTTAGCACCCGGGACGGCGATGACGATGGTCACCAAGGCGAGGAGAGCCCCTTTTGCCGCCTGCCGGACAACGCGGAATCGGAAAGCGTCGTCTCGCACGCCATGGACTCGAGAAGCGAAACCCCAGAGGCAGCGTTGGAGCCGAGCCTCCGCCCAGACATGAAGAAGGGGTATGGGCATTCTGTGAAAAGTTACACGGCAAAGGGCGGCGGAAGCCACGATGACGATATCCCATTACAGGGGATCCGGGTGCAGAGAGACTTTACGAGCTCAACGTCGCGGAGACACTGATTTTGCTTTGAAAGGAGTGTTGATGGCCTGGAATATGCAAATCGGGCCAGATTTAGTTCGGCTGTATTTCTATTGTCCTGAACGATAACCCTGGCTTGATGAGTCTCATGATGGCTGTTGTTTGTATTTCAAGATGTACAATATATAGCGACCAAGTATTAAGTAGAAGGGATACTCGGCTGCCACGCACTATATCATGATATATGGTAGTATGCTCATGTATATTAATCTGTGGTCGAATCAATCTCAAGACTATAATAAGAAGCCATCATTAACAAACCCGGTACTTAGCTATCGCGCTCTATATTATACTGTATTACAGTATATCCATATATACCTCTTGGTGGGCAAATTCCGCCAGACTATATACCACCATTGAAGTAGAAACGTACATCTACGCCATAATTACAAACTAGCTCTCTGTATTTGCCAATTTTTCATCTCCGTCTTCCAAATCCATCACCAACAGCCGCACCCACTCATCTTCCCTCCCATTCAACTCAAGCCGAACCACGACCCAACTAGGTACCCCTGCGATACAGCCCCCAGAAGCTCTTCATACGGTTTACCCGACCGACAGTAAACTCCAGCACACAAACACTACACCCATCAGCCGCGCGCCCATCCGTCGCCAAGGCCAAGAATGCAAAACTCACTCAGATCTATAGTCCATGTAGTTATGGATCGGGTCCAGGCCCGGCTGCTCGGGACAGGTATCCAGGCGCTCGCCAACAGGACACCCCCAAGTCGGACAGCCCTGGGCAGGAGTCAATGTCATCGACGTAGTCGCCCCCGCCGTAGCAGCCGTCTTGGAAGGTATGCAGCAGCCCGAGCCAGTGGCCGACCTCGTGGACGGCCGTCTTGCCCGTGTCGTCAACTACTCCCGGAAGGCACCGCCGGGCAGCGTGTCGACGCTGACGACGCACCCGTTGCTTTCGAAGGCGTCGGAGCCCCGGGGTGCCCACTGTGGAAGCGTGCAGTAGCCCAGGACGCCGAAGCGCCCCATGGGCTGCTTGGAGAAGTACAGGTTGAGGTCGTGGTAGCGGCCCTTGCGGAGGGCCTTCTTCATCGCCTCTTCCTCGAGCCGCTGGACCAGGTGGCGTTGATGGTGTGGTCGAGGGACTTGAGGACGAACCTGATGCCGCTGCTCGCGAAGCCCTTGTTCGGGGCGTCCATCTGGTCGTGGATGGCTTCTCGCTACGGGTGGCGAGGAGGGCATTAGTTTCTTGGACTTGGGTGAATCGCGAGACGGCGGAGGGCGTGTTTGTGTTTGGTTGTCCGGAGTCCAGAGAGAGGCACTTACTGAGGCGTAGCCGCTGTCTGCCGTGTTGTTTGCCGCAACGATGTGGATGTGGGTGTCGAGGAGGATTTCCGCCGCGGCGAGCTCGCCTTGCGAGGTGAGGGAGTGTTCTGCGGCGCGCAGCTTGCTGGATGTGTCTAGGAACTCCTTGCTGGGCAGGGCGTTGCCGCATGCGAACTCGACGGGCTCACTGTTGGGAAGAGTCGCGAGAGCGGGTGCGGCCAGGCTGGCCAGGACGGCGGATGTGAGCATGGTCGACTTGAGCAGAGTCGGGGATTCGGGGGTCTTGGTACCACGGCGCTGCACAGTGATTTACTGCGGGTTTGTAAGGTCAGTAGCAGGATGTCTTTGTATATAAGGTATGCAATGACATTCTCTAGTATACTTGGTGTATTATAGAATAGATGATAGAATACCTTGCCTGGTTAAATCCTGTTTCTGGCTGTCCTTGATCAGTATATAGGAGGCAAAAGAGGCTATCGAGTAAAGTATACTAGATACGACTTGGCAAAGTGAGAAAGCATTTGTGGTAGACATATCTCGAACTCTTTATATCTTTTTGCACACACCAACACACAGAATTGTCTTCGGGATATCCCGTATACACGCAGGAATTCGTTGTAATCAGCGACTTGTCTTTAGCAAACCAGCCACCGTGCCTCATTTAGAAGCCAATACTCTTGTGCTGCGCCGTGCTCTCTGACAATTACCCAAGTACCGGGTACGAGACGCAAAAGCTATCTCCAATCTCCTTCGATTTATCGTACAGGTCCCAAAGAAGGAGGCCAGCCCTGCCGGACAGGGATTTCATCTTAAGTTTACGCACTGCTTTCTTCATTGGACGCAAATCTTCATGACCATCTCTCAAGCACCAGGCGGCGGTGTGAACGGATCTGTTGGAAGTCCATGCTTACCCCCCTATTCTTGTTCGTTTAGTGACCGGGACGGAGAACGAGGTGTCGCGATAGCTGTTAGGTTTGACCAATGAATCATGGGGCCAAAGGATCCAGAAACAGCGTCCTCGGCCGAATATTTCCATGTGCCAGCTTCCAAGTGTACTTTGGCTGCTGAGTCCTGACTCTAAGACGCCCCGTGTCGGCACAGCCTTGCCGCCCAACTCGTCTAACGAAAATGCTGTCGAGACACCACTGTCAGTACGAGGAAACCAGATACCGTGCCAAGAAAATGCACAACCGTTGAAAAGTGACAGGTCACAGAGTCTGCAAATTTCCCGGGGTGAAGATTCGATGCCCGTTTCTCCAGACTCGACACGGGCCGGAGTTGGGACAGTCAGTTGTTGTACAACTTGAATCCAAGTACAATCCATCGGAACATGATTAGCAACTCCAGAGGCGATTTCCGTCCTGCGATTAAGAGTTGCCAATTGACGTTGAGCAGAGGAGCTTGTCCGCGATAAGTCGGCATGCTTTAGACACAACTCTGCAAACGGCACAAGAAACTTTTGACGTACATCTGTATAAGCAACCTATACAATTCGACTGGCCTTTAGCGTCCCGCCAGATAGAGAGGTTGGCCTGAGCTTACAGATAATGGAGGTCATGTCCGGCATTGGGTCTCGAAAGTTGACGAGTCGACCAGCACGGCCAACGCGTCGGACGCACTTATTCTCCGCAACACCTTTTCAGAATAAAGTATGTTACTGGCTTCCAATAGGCACCGTGCATAAACCCTTCCTTCTGCCGAGATTTGCTGTAGATGACGAGCTGAGCAACGTCTGTTACTTTACTCGGTGCGTCTGTCAGAGCCGTGTTTCTGGAAAAAGTCGTCTCTCTAGTACTCCGTAAACGCTGTTGATATCATCTGTTTTGACAAGATGGTGTCTCACCAAATGCAACAATGTATCTGTAGAGCGCCGGGAAGGCCTCACCGTCACCTGGTGTACGTTCTCGATGGCAACTCCATGTCCTGACCTGGTTCGACGTTAATATGGACGACTCCGCTACAGCCATAGTGGCTGGCTCGAAAAAGAAGGAAATAATCTAGTCAAAATTTCATTCAAAACAACCGTCACAGGGTGAAGATCAAGGACTGGCGGCAGTTTGCTTCGATGCTTGCTACCTGCGTACCACGAGCTATGCCGTTACATCTCATATGCGTTCCCAGGCAACATCAATAGACTGGACAGCCAGCTCAAACATGTCGTCAGACTTTGCGATTCAACACCAAACCTCTTATTCACGCTACGCCACGCTATTTCTGCTGCACCATGCCCGTTTCGCCAGTCTTCGCCGCCCCGATGCACCGTCCGCTTCCACTCACGCCTCAACTCCAATTCCGCCATCAGCCAGGCAACTAGGGGGGATATATACAGAGGAAGCCAAAAAGTTATCCAACCCGACCACCAGGTACCTGGCGACCACGCGCCATGCTACACTACAATATACCATCACAACACCATTGTACATCAGCGTATACACATTCAATTAATTGACGCGGTTGACAACCCAGCACTGGGGTCACGGTACCTCCACAGACTGACCATGCGGCTGATCTGGCCTTGAGTGAACTCGGTATAGCAGCGGCTACTCATTCATTAGCACAACTCTCAATGTCAAGGGAGCGCAAAATGGGAAGCCAAGGAACAACATACTCCTGTCTGTAGCTCATGTAGTTGTGCAAGGGGTCTGAACCAGGCAGCGACGGGCAGGTATCAATGTTGGAGCCGGCGGGACACTGATAGTCGGACGCAGTGCGAGGCGCGGCGTGGGCAGGCGTGTCGTCAACCTGGTCGCCGCCAGAGGAAGCATCGCAGCCGCCCTGAAACGTGTGGAACAAGCCAAACCAGTGGCCGACCTCGTGCACCGTGACCTTTCCTAGGTTGTTGCTGCCAAGGCTGCCTCCGGGCATGCTGCCGAACTGCATGACGCAGCCGTCTCTGATGAAGCTTTCGGATCCCGGGCGGGCGCCCTGCACGGGGAAGTAGCAGTAGCCTCCGATGCTGGCGCTGCCCTGGGGCGCGTTGAGGTAGTAGAGGTTCAGGTCCTTGTAGGAGCCCTTGCGCAGCTCCCTCTTCATTGCGACCTCGCTTCTGTCGTTGGCCCAGGCGGCGTTGACGGTCCTGTCAACGCCCTTGAGGGTGACGGAGAAGCCGGTGCCGGACAGGCCCTGGTTAAGCACGTCTATCTGCTTTCGGACGATGTCGTCCTATGTGTACGAAGAACACGGCCTGTTAGTTTCGTGTTGGTCAAGCCGTCGTTGGTGCTACTTACAGACACATTCCCGCCTTGAGGGGTCCCATCCGAGGATATAATGTGGATGTAGGTGTCTACAACAACATTGGCTTGGGCGACGAGACCTTGTGTGCGAAGTTCCTGCTCCTGGAGACGGAACTCCTTGACGGCGTCGACGAGCCCCTCGCTCGGCGGTGGTGTACCGCACACGTCAAGGGGTTTGTCGACGGCGAGCGCCGTGGTCAGCGCAACAAGGCTTGAGATTGCAAGACTGTGAAGCATGTTGTGTAGTTTGGCTACCCGTGATGGCGGAATAGTTGTGAAAGATGGCTTTAGATATACGGGGCAATGAATCCTAGCAGATGGAGCAAGCTAGCAGCTTTGAAGCGAGAGTGTCGGACTGTTGAATTGGGGGTTAATTCATTCTCGAGAGGTTGCGATATCTAGCCCTTTTATCCTATTGACCAAGGCACTGAGATAATGACTTGCCATGAAAGGCAACTCAACCTGCTATCCACATCTTCCGGATGAATTGACATATTAGGAAGATCCAAGGCATCGTCAACTGGGAGCTCCCTCAAGAGCTCCATGCCGACTGCAACAGAGAAACGGGTTCCCTCATGGCCTAGAATCATGGGCGTTGGATAATACAGCCTATGGCAGGATATATTTGCCCCAGCAACAAGTATACGCTGGTATACTGTAGCACAGCGCATCATAGAGCGTGATAAACCAGGTACCTCGACTGGCTAGATACCTTTTGCCTCCCACTGTACTTGAACATTCGGATCTACTACCGCCAAGAATCAACTGCCAATTGTGGGCGTAGCAACGTCCTATGCCAAACCGGCGACCTTCCCGAAGTGGAAAGTCAACGAGTCCTAGTTTTGTACATAGTAGGCCCCGGGGATACGAGCCGAATCAAGCAGAATCATCCCGGCACTTGGCAATTTAAGCTTATAAGGCAATGTTGACACCCGTGAACCAATGGACGAGATTACTGCCACCTCCTGCATTGGGAAGCATGGTTTGATTGTTTGGTTCGCGGGTGTCCACCCCCGTGATTGTTCGTAGATCTGTGCCATATTTAGCCACCCTCCCGTGATTGCGCTTGTCAAGTCGCCAAGAGATTTCAAACGCTCCAGCAGGAACCGGGATGTCCAACGCCCAAGGGGCAGGGCTGGCTAGAAAAACAGGCGCCGGCTAAGCTCAGCTCAAGTGCTCGCGGTCGATGTGATGAGTAACGGCGGCTTCGTCCCCCGCAAACGAATCACAAATCGGGCAGTTGACGGCCACGTAGCTTACCACGGCATCTGGACCATGGTTCGTATCCGAAGCAGCGTGATTATCCGACGGCGCAGGTGGGAGGAAATCTGCCAGGCTCCTGGGCGGAGGCTCAGAAGGGAAGTCGATGTCGTTTCGGACATCTGTATACCGGTGGGTGAAACGCGACGGCGCATGGGGTCTGGAGGAGTTCTCAGAAACCCCAGGCACTGCTTCTGAAGCAGTGCCCATGCGCTGAACTCGTCCGACTTGGCCGTTTCTCAGGCGCACTTTGATGCCGCGTGGGTGGTTGCCGCGAGTGAGGAGCTGGCTGACCACGCCGGCGGTTTCCTTGCCAGTGGGTTGGTCTTCTTTCAGTATGATGAAGACGGAGGCTCCTGGGATGACTTGCTGGACGGTAGGGACGGTGCCCGCCGCCTGTTGGGGCGTCGCGGGTGAGCCTCGCGACGAGCCTCGCGATGGAGGACCAGGGCCGGTTGCATTTTGTTTGTCCTGGCGCGGCGGACGCGGTTGGCGATTTCTGGGCCTGTTCATAGCAGACTACAGGAGACGGTTATCCGGATGATTAAGTCCTGCCACTGGAGAAGGTTGGTAGAGGGTGTGTAGCTTGGTAAGTCGATGGCGTGGACAATTGAAGCTCTCCCAACTAAAAGTTTTGGCTACCTGAACACCCGGCTCCATTCTTCTCCACAACACAACCCTAACCCTAACCCCTTGGTTGCCTGGCGTGTCACAAGTGTAGATGCACCAGGGTTATCTTGATTAACAACAGAATTCGCATGATGAACTATGGGGCCAAATGGACACTGTAGTTGCATGTATTCAATTTAATATGCCATCGTACCGTAGGTGCTCATTTTAGCTGCCAAAAATGCTGCCAATTGATTGACCTGGACCTTTGGCAGCACTTTTAGCTTGAGCACTTTTGGCGGCACTTTTGGCTGTACTAATTGACCTCTGGCAGCGAAAATATTAAGAATATACCTATTGACGGGATAGTCCTCGTCAACTCCCTCTTCAGCGTGCTGTTAAAGATGGTATTCGCGATGGCGATAAACATCAATTGATGGCTCCGCTAAACGTTTGGCAAAACACCATGGTAGCCGTGGCCATGCCAACCAACCGCGCAGGCGTATTGGCCCGGATCGCTATGAGTGCATTTGCATGCCCAGCCCGCGTCCGGCACGAACGAAGACCTCGCATCCTACCCATTGCGCGGTCGGGGCGAAGGGGTCGAGCGTGGCGAGCAGACCGCTGCCAATGGTGACGATGACGGCGGAAGCGACGGCAAAGGGCAGGTAGTGCCCTGTATGCTCCGGAAGCAAATCGGCAGGTAATAGCAGTGAATAGCAACACCATGGTTAGGCACGCCGTCCAGATTTCCCGCTTGCGAATAATGATCAGCGGCACCATGGCATTGTCACCTGCCCGCTTCTCCCGGGACAAGAAGACACCAAGCGTAGCTACGCCACCTACCAGCAGGGCGATGACAGTGGCCGAGCTCCACGGGTATGTGCTGCCGCAATATTCGAGAGCGAGCAAGGCCGTGATTGCCGAGGGGGCGAAGAACGCGAAGTCCGGGAGGTCGAAATTGTGCCTGATGATTGTAAATGCGCCGTTTTGGAGACCGGCGCTCCCCAGGCCGGTAACTGCTCTGCCGAGGATGAACATGGTTGAGGAGCCGGCGATGCCGCATATCAAGGACCCAATCTGGAACAACAGGAGAAAAGCGACAAATATCCACTTCCAAACCTGCTAGCTTTGTCCGCAATTTACACACCATCTTGACAATATTTGTACCTTTGTCTTGAAGTAGGTGTACAATCTGCCCGAAAGCGGTTGAGGCGACGCACTTATAAGTCGGTCACGTCCAACCCCCTGTGTAAGTCCCACGGGCACATACCTCGATAAATTATACGCAGCGCCGTGCCACGCGACGTCAGGCAGCGAACGAAATACGTAGTGATTCGTGTAATGGGCTTGTCAAAGTCGGCCGCAGTTTCCATCTGCAATCCTCCCTGAAACCACAAACTGTTGCGATGATGGATATGTCCAGCAACACCACGAACGTCGCCGGCGTTACGGCCACTATTAAACTGGACAACTTCCACCCATGAACGTACTCCACCCCCAAGTCTTCTTTCTCATTCGCATCAGCTTCCGTAAACAATGACTCCGAGGATGTCCATTTCCGTCGAGCACTGCTCTCGATCTTTCCATCGTGCGCCGGGTCAAACTCCAGTGTCGGCAAGGTGCCTAGTCGGAATTTTTCGTCCAAGTATTCCACAATGGACAGATGAGCTGGAACAGGTTCCTGAGGGCGTGAGTTGCCATTAGATTAGTTCTTGTGAGGCCAGAGGCCTTGGCTATTTTTTTTGAAAGAGTCTGCAAGGGCCTTCGGCCGGGATCGAGACGTTCTTGCGGAGATGAGCTATGCACGGGATATGAAGTGGGATGCCGCGTCGAGCCGTACGCTTTGCGACGGAATCCTTGCGAGCCCGGTTTCCTCTGTGGGGATGTAGCAACTATTTCATGGTCCGTGGAAGGCTGCATGCAAGTGAGATGGGTAGCGTTGCCCATGGCGAGAAGCTGACACCCACCGTCGTACGGACACGAAGGATCACGTCTCAGCCGAGGGCGGACATGGCAAAATGACGAATTATTCAAGTAGTCGTAAAGTGATCATGTCCCTTTCATGCTTACTCGTGGTATCATATAGAATTCGTCCACAAATTCTTTAGTAGTCCCATGGCCCAAATATATCCGACATCCAGGTCATATCGCTCAAGTCCAGCCCGGCGGTCGGGTCAGCTACGCCGTCAACAATCAAGCCCGCGTGCGCACCTGCTTCATCCATATCGTTGATCGCCGTATTGACCACCTGACCCTGGCTCTGCGGCGTAGGCAACGCCACCTCGCGGAGATACGGCGCCAAGATTGGTTCCCACGAGTTTCGCAAGTTTCGCAGAATCTTGGCTCCCTTGGTGAAGAGCGTACCGTCATGATCATCTGTTCTAATCGGGTACACCTCATCCACCCTGTAAAACAGCTCAATTGTTTTGTCTAGGAGAGCCAGTAAGTCGGCTGTGCTTTTCAGAATGTCCTTGTCCCAGGCCTTGTCCTCGGCAGTGGTCAGTCTGTAGAGATTAGCCTGAATATGGGACATTTCCACATACGCCGCAAACGGTAGTCCAGCAACCTCGGACGCTGGGATGGCAAAAAAAATGTCGTAGAATGTCTTTGCGTGTTTGGTGCAGGAGTACATGCTGTTAATGCGAACTGACTCGGGGATGCCTTGCTCGGTGAACAAGCCAATAGAGTGGACGAGGCTTTCTGTGCAGTGAAGAAGCAGAAGAATATGGCCTATTGAGAGTCGGCTTGCATTAGCTTCTGCCGTGTGATGGGCTGCAGGTGGACATGAAAGGGGGTGTTGAGGGCTGGACGCACGATTGTTGGCCAGGCGATCTGGTAGCTGGCTGCGAATTTCGTTTAACCTTGATACCAAGCCCGGCTTGAAAATGTACGTTGGATTTTGGTTGCTCTCGTTTATTTTTCTGCGCATCAACTTTTGGACTTCTTCTCCAACAAGTTGGATCTTGACCATGGTGACGAGAACGGCATCTGATGAATACTCATTCTCGCGTTCCACGACTGCTAGGGAATCGTCCATATGAGCTGTCCAAGCAAGCGTCTCCATTTTCCCGATGAATGACGTGGAGCTGCGTCGTTGTGAGCACGCAGAACTGAATGACTGCAAAGGGTTTCTCAACTCACATTGATATTGAGAGCCAGAGACCGAGTACGACTCTCCGCTCCTCCATGGTTCGCACTCTGGGCGGTGGCGGGGGACGGGCACTCCATATCTTGAAATACATGGTAGACTGTTGCTCTTCAGCAGGGGATCTGGTAAGCCCCATGTCAAATACAATTGACTGTGCCAAAGTCGCATATAATATTAAGAATGGCTTCATTCCGGGACCCGCATTCATCGTTGCCCTGTTACCGGCTCAGTTAGACGGAGCCGCCGACAGCTACAATCAGCAGCCTAGGCTTGAATCAAGTTGGACTTACCACGTTAGAAAGGCAACCAGGCCTTGTAGCATATCCATGCTTCGATCCCCTTCAAAGACTAATCTATCGGCAACTTCTCGCCGAATCTTTTCCCTCAGTATACGCTGTTGTGGAACCGACATGGATGTCAAGTTCATAATACACGTCCACAGAAATGGCTTTTCTCTTCGTAGTGCTGCAGCCGTCATCTCCATGGGAATGTGCATGAATGGCATCGCTGCCAGCCACTGTCTAAACTTGGCAAAATAAGCCTCGGCTTCCTCTGGGGTTGGTTCTGGCCGCCTATCCGCCTCACTGAGGATCGACGTATTCCGGCTAGGTGACAGACCCGATGTGATACACTCATGAGTCGCGCACAAACTGGCCTTTCCCTGTGCTTGTGACCGAGTTGGATCCGCTGTAGCGGCGGCTGCCAACGAGTCCAATCGACTGGTAAAAGGCTGTGAGGGTGTGTTAGATAATGGGGTATAAGAGTGGTTCATGCGTGGCCCAGAATCATGGGTAGCTCTCAACATTGAGACCAGGTCTTCAATCTTCTCTTCGAGCTGCGCAGTGCGTGAAGATGTCGTCCTCTTGGCTACCCGCTTCCTCATCGTGTCAATCTGGTGGCAATCCTTGCCAAGCCGATGGCATCTTTCACAGCTACCGCCCCCGGACCGCAGGATGCATCTGCATTTTGCCCGAGAACAGTTAGTACATGAACGGCCGTAGCCGGCAGGAATACCGTCGGCGGAATCCTTTCCAATAGTTGTAGGTGCCATTGGCGTGAAGCTGTTCCTGTGATTCGACAGCCAAACCCGGCCTGGGCGCCGTTGGTGGATTTGAGCACCACAGCAATTGAAGTCCGGTCTTGTATGGTGTTGAGCAAGTTTGTCACATGGGGTATAGATATGACCGTTATTCAAGGCATGGAGTTGAGTCGGAATTGAATATGCAGAGCATCTGAGACGTGCGGTTGGGGGCGTGCTGTTAGACTTGTAGTCCGGAATTGAGATGCCTCTTGCTGCGAATACCGCGTCATCGCTGAGTCAGCCATGCTTTGCCAGCGCAATCGTTGGACTTGTGCGGAGTCTACGTACGGTCGGGGTTGAAGGAAACCCGAAATCCGAAAAAATTGCCTATTTGGGCGGCGGTCCCCTCATTGATAAAGTTCATAAAGTTGATAAAGGGGTCGCGGCCTCAAACACAACAAGCTAAACTAGGATGGGAAATCTACGGACTACGGAAATAGGGAAGGGGAGGTCGCCAATAATGTGTCAGTTACATAGAAGGGTTGCTACCAATAACATGCACAGCAATCGATCCATGTGAACTTGGACATTCAAATCTCCTCCACGCAGAGACCTTTATTCGTCCGAGTAAAGATGGACGGTGATTGGCTAAGGACGATCAAGATTTCCGTGGAAGCTACACACGATTCGCCTTCTTCCTGTGTTATGCCTTGAGGAACGAAAGGTCCTTCTGTCCCACCCGCCGGCTGCGTCCCAACATTGAAGCTTCTCGTTTTCCTACTGGCTATAGTTTCTCGGCTCTTAATTGGTCACTTGTCTTCGCCAGTGCTTTGCATTTGAACATGCTCACCAAGCCACTGCCGTGCCTCCTCCACTGTCCTCGTGCTCATTTCCTCCAGTCTGCCCTGTGCCGCTGTCATCTTAGGGTTAGGGTTATACGATGATAGTTTCTGGAACTCCCTCTTTATAACCTCCGACAATAACAACTATTACTTTACGCCTATTAATACCTTGAAGGGTTAATGCAACCGTATTCTATATACTGGCGTAAAAGCGTAACGTTAATATATTCTTACTATCGCTATATAAGATTAACAAGAGATTAGCTAAACTTAGCGTTATCATAGAAGCCTCTACGTTTATAGAACATAAAGCAGCGTGATATGACGCTGCACTTACGGATATGCAAAAGATGAACCAACAACTCCAGGCCCATAACAGAATCACACCCTTTGACGCCAGAGACCAATAGACCCAAGAAATCCGAGCCTCCCAGAGATTAGCAGCCGAGATGTACCTTTCGGAAGCTTCACTTGAGGATACCGACAAAGCTCTTGAGCCTAAGGCTTTGATTAACCCTGGAATAATAGTGCCTAAATACTATCACAAATACCTGAAAGTATTCGATTAAGCAGAGGCAGATAAACTTCCTTCCCACCGAGACTGCGACCACGAAATCAAACTTTAACCTGGCACAACCCCACCCCATGGACCTCTGTACGGGATATCCGAAGACGAACTCCTTGGTTATGACAAGGGCTCAAAGAGGGCTTGGAGCAATAGCTCAATTCAACTAATAACAGTCTTTGGCATCAAAGATCCTTGGTTTTCCTCAAGGCCTTGAGGGGCCAAAGGCGTCTTTAAATACAAGAAGTCGGTGAGGGACTTTGCCCTAGGTCTCGTGACCGTAGCCCTTGTGTAACCAGCCATTTCCGTGTAACACTCAGGGGCAGCTTGTGAGGCCTTTTTTTGCAAGAGTTATTGGCATTGGCATCACACCTCGGTACAATTGTTACGATCTGCGCACACTACAGTGTGTGTAAAAAAATACATCAATAAATCACAAGGACTTAAATGAATATAAAAACTTAGAATCCAAAGAGAGCTTTCGTATTATCTGGTAGGCTTCGTCCGGCAATCCAACTGCGGGGGGGCCGCAAGTCCCTCGTAAGCTGATATTGCTAACAAGTCAAGTCTTCTTACTCTCACCAAGTTTCTTCGTCATTGCTGTCTGGTATTCAAGTGCAGTTATTGCCTGGTACTTGGCCGGATTGTCTGGCGAAACAAACGCAGGTAAAGCACTTACTAATACAGATCTGCGAGCCTTTAAGAAAAACGCCGACGAGAATCTTTCCGGTATCTCTGACTCATTTGTAGCCGTTGGCAGGCTGACTTGGTGAACGCCCGCTGGCAAGACGTCATTTGTCCACCTTGCAAGCGTGTCACTGACGTTGACCAGAAGATCGTCGGAATGCTCAAAAGTTACCGACTTATAGCTACCAAGATGACTCCTGTCCTCAAACTCTAACCCGTCTACCCCTCCTCCCTGGAACAGGAGTGTCAGGACGCCCAGGTCGCTATGGGGCCATGCGCGCTTATAAGTTGGCGGTACGCTTGCTGCTGGCTTTATGGGAGCATAGTGGACGATCCGAAGCTCACTTGTGGCAGGCCTGCACAAATTTGTGAGCAAATCAGGCTCTACTTCCAACCCCAACTCAACCATAGCTAGAATTTCTAGCGCTTTTTGCTGACAGATGCCGTAATACTGCTCCATGAACTTTCTGAAGCCTGGCAGGTCAGGCCAGCGATTGGGATACTCCTTGTCATCATGGGGCCCGCAATCAAAATGTTCCTTTGGGAAGTATTAGTAGACAATCTTGGATTATCATGTTTGAGCTTCTCTGCCATCAATAAAACCTTTTGGTCTAATTTGTCCTCATCCTTTGAGGCCCCCTTCTCTTGAGACTGTAGATTGGATGTAATCTCGGATCCCACCATGCTCCATCCGCGTTGTAGGCTTGGCCCGGGAACGTGGAGGACCTCCTTCTTCTTGTCTTCCGGAAGATTGAAGAACAAACGACCCTTGCAAAGTGTGAGACACCTTCTGTAGGTGCAAGGACAGAGAGCATTACCCAATCCCAGATTTGGCTGACAACCTCTGGGGGAACGCCATGGTTCTGAAGCTTCGCAAAACCATCGCGTTTCAAGTTGGACACAAACGCCTTTGCAACTTGCCGTTTCCCTTGGTCAGTTCCCTCCAAGTAAAGTGAGAAATCTATAGTGGTCGAGGTAGCCATGTTGTGCCGGCGTTTAGCCCTTTTGCTGTCAATTCGTAGCCCGATGTACTATACGAATGACAATTGTTAAATCCCAAACAAATGAGTTTTTCTCAACCGGAGGATACCAAAGACGAGTATACACGTAACAAGGTGATTTTTGATGAGTTTTTATCATATGGATTAAACTTTTGTTTGACGTCTTACGTCGTTAAGTAGCTGTGGCCTGCGGGTTGCAGGGTGCACCTGGTCAACTTCGTCGTCTTCACTCTCCAATTACCAGTGACAATTTTAGTCAAACTCCACGCCATCAAAACAACTCAGTTGGCAGAGTGCATTGCTGTACCCTAGACTACCACGCATGACTATTCCGTAGTTGGTAAGGAGCCCAATATAAAATTTTCGATCAGACTGCACATTATCAAATTAAGTTCCACGTCATCCGACTAAATACCACGTTGTATACTCCAGCCACACCGTTGTGCAAATACTGCTCCAATGCTTTCATGGAAAGAACTTGGGGGCTCGTATTGAATTGGGTGTTCAGGTACAAATTTGGCCTTGTATTGACTTTTCTAAGCGTCCCGCATTTGCCATCTTGTGCATGTTATTACCTGGGAAACGCAGAAGATGTTCTTGGATGAAGCCCTTACCACCTGAAATGTCGCCGGAGCCATAGTCACTCCGATCCTCCTAATAATCGGGATAGCTTACTTCGGCGATAATCATGCATACCCCAGCATACCTCTCGTACTAAATGCTACAATTAGCGATTACATTACGTATAACGTAATCCCAGCCACAAATCACGTTTGAATCTTTATATGAAGCTCTGTAATAGCCGTATTCATGCGTGAAAGTCTAGACAGTCCTTTGTGGCACTTGACAAAGCTTAAAGCCCAGCGTGACCTTGCTAGTGGCGAATACAAATCTGCGAGTAGTCGGAGAGATATTATAGACTTTTACAGCTAAGAGGGCGAGATGATTTAACTTTGCTTTATTCAATATAAATGGCATAATTTTAGTTGAGGTCTTAACTTAAATATAATAGTATTAGATAAATATATGTAATTAAGGGTGACCAGTTTACTTTAAATGTACGTCACCCCAAGCCTTGTCGTAAATAACAAGATTTTGGATTTGAATAGCGTATTTGTGACGTATTAAGATTTTTATGTATTCCACTGTTCTAGAAAGTGCCTTTCTCCCTCCTTCTTTCCTCTCCTCCAAGATAAATATTGTGTCTGCGCGACATCTAGCAGGGTGCTCCATACTTCTTTGCCGGCCAAAATAGTGCAGGCTCAGCATAGGAATTATGTAAAAAGACTATATACTAAATTATAATACAATGAGGCTATAGTACAATACGAGTACAGCAAGTTATCACTCACTTTTGTTTGTGGGCAAGAGGTACTGTAACATCCGATTCGGTCATGCATACTATTCCTCAAGACCCATAGCTAGAAAACTAGTCACCGGGGCGCCTACGTCGTCCCATTCTGCACCTGTAGTGAGGAATCCGACAACCTCTGAGCTGCCAGTTACGTACGTGGCGACTTCACATGGTCGCACTGGGAGGGGGGCGCGCAAAAGTTAGCTAGCAGGGTGCAAAATTAAATGTTCGCCCGGGCGCCTCTATTAGCCGCCACCCGGACGTCCATCTATCTATCAGTCGCCCTGAGAAGGCCGATGGGCCTTAGCATGGAAGAGATAGAACGTCAGCTTAACATTGCCAAGTCCTGGAAGGCACCAGAGGAGGATGGATTGCCAGTGCCAGTGTGGAAGCGAGTCTGGTCAGCAGTCAAGGACAGATATCGGTGAGCGCCTGTACCAGACCTAATATCATGTCTTCCAGGTCCTCAATACAACTACTCCGTAACCCCCACGAGAATTGCTTTTTCCCATGCGTAGGTGCCTGCGACCCCAAATAGCTGCCTTGGCTTTCGAGAGCACCAATACCAACTTCCTGCATTTTTGAACCCGCTGTGAGATACACCATCATGTCCTGGCACCGTGCGGTTGTCTGTTATGTTGCATCTATCATGAGAAGGTCAGATTTTTGCATCGCTCTTGTTTTATTGCTCATCTTTGTTTATTTCCTGATCGGCTCCCCACTCCCTCCCATGGCAATTAAAAAAACATTGACCAGACTTGACAAGCTACTGGACTCATGTTGGCGCGGTCCAACCAGCTAGATCAGCCCAGCGGTCTCTCGTGTTGCCTCGAGATATTCACACCAGTTGACACTTGAAGTTGCCGTACGGCCTCCATGCCCATTAGCCAGACCGAAACTGCGCTCACCGCAATTCTATGGCGGCAATTGATACTTTGGACAGCATGAATTCATAGGCACCAGAAGCGAGACAGCATCAATGACTAGGTCCGATGACAACGTACGCCCTTGTCATAGGTGTAAGCAAAGCGCTGAGCCAGGCGAGCCAAAATTGAACATTAAGCGGCTGCTAAATTCGGGCTTGTTGAAGCAGCTGAATTCGAGGCTTTTGGGCCTGCTAGCATATTTCCTAGAGCTTCTGTTTATTTTCTCCTCCGGGGGCCGCCTGCGGCAATGTTGATGCTGCTGATACTGTTGTGGCATACCGCCAGAACACTCGTACCGGCGTTACTATAACCAACTCGGAGCGCGCTAGCAAATTGAAATGCTTTATTTATCTCGGTGCTCCAGTAAGTTCAGTACGGACAAAGTGGCTTAGTGGTATTTCTCCAAAATAAGGATGATTATAGGAACAGGTTATTTGCAGCTTGTCGTAAGCGCTAAAAATCTGGTGCAAATAGTCGTTAGTTTGTACCCAGCACACCAACACAACATTGAAGTGAGATAAATGCGCCATGTGCTAGAGCTGGACAGGTGTACAAAACAGTCCAGATAGTACCTTCGTTCTACAATTACAGGAGATCTCGACAACTGCCCCTTAGCGAACCGAGATAGGGTATCGATATTCGGGACAAATATTCAGATACATCATGCCGGAGGTAGTTTCCCGCCTCTTAGCCATGGATGCATATACCCTTGTACTGTTGTGAGTCTATCTTCAGGGACCCAAGACAAAAAACACTGAATAAAGTTGAGAAATAAATCTCTTTCTTCTCCCTGTAAAGCCTCTGCAAGAGACTCAAAAGTTCTCTCAGTAGGTAAGGGAACCGGTCCCTGCCATTTTCCTAGATTAAGGGTCATGGATTAATACGGGTTTAATTGAGTGATCAACATATGACTAGAACTGGACGGGGTTATGTGTAGTAGAGTGCTCACCATCTTCATCCCAATATTTTCGAGATTTGACAGTTCTCTTTAGAAATTCAGGTGGTGGTGAGCCTAAAAGGGCAGTCATCGCTGCAAGGTGGCATGCATTATTTTGCTCTTCGGATTCATGGTTGTACACTCGGAACAGGGGCTCCTTCTCCAGAAGGTCCCAGGCCTAATAAATAGGTCAGAAAGCACACCAGAAGTAGTGTTTCAGTGATAATAGGCAGAATGCCATACCAGAAGCCCAACACTCCAATTATCCACAGAAGGACCCCACGGCATGCCAAGAATAACCTCAGGCGCTCGATACGGCACCGGCATTGCATTTCCGCTTTGCTCCTTGCCTATGCGTGCTTGGCCGAAGTCACTGATGGTAAGCGCGCCTGCACCTCCCAGCACATATTGAGAGACATATATGATAGTATCGCCTATTCGTTTTCGTGGAGATGGCTTATAAATCTCATTGTCTTCCACCTTTGAAAGAATGTTGTCACTCGTTAAAGCGATTAGCAGGTTATCTGAATGCAAATCTGGCTGCTACTTAGTGGCTTGGTTGATTGAAGATCCGAGGGGGGTTTGGAAAAGTGACCTACCGGTGTGAATCACGTTGGCCTCGTGCAGGAAGTTTATCCCGAGTAGTACTTGCTCCACCGCTCTGGCAACAATATCCTGGTGAAAAGTTTTCTTTTTCTGCATATTCTGAAGCGTTCTCATACTCATCCCTAGAGGTTTCATGACGAGTACTTCGTGGACACCACTCGGCCCTTGTATCGGGAATGATTCGTTAATTTGGCGGACATTTTCGAGGCCAGGTTCATCTGCAAGATCTGACCTCATCTCCGCCAAATGCTTGTAAACTCTCAATTCTTGGTTTTGCTTCAAGGTATTAATATATACCTTGAGGACCCAGTATGAATTCTCTCTGGGACAAGGCCCTGATTAGCGGATCGACTTGGTAAGGGAACAGTAGAAGGCGTACTGAAGGTCACGAGAAAGCCAGACGGTGGAACTCGTGCCATAACCGAGCTTTGCAACGACCTGATAACGGTCACGGATGACCTCACCGAGCCGCATTGGATAGTAGTCACTCCGTCTGTAAAAGGGTAGCCGCTCTTCTTCAATTTGTTGATCTGAACGTATTACTTCGAATCCGGTGGATGGAAATTCGCGAGGCTGACGCGACGCCGTCACGCCGGAGATGCGTTGGGAGTGCACCATGTTGGACCGCGATATCAGGCTGTACCGAGTAGTAGACTGTCGCCGCAATAGGAGTGAGGAAGGACGAAGTCGAAGTCGACCAAACATGCCTGGAGGGAGTGGAAGGGCTTTTGGAAAGGTAATGACTTCGTTGTTTCGAACAAGACCGAACAGGACGGAAGTCGTAGTGTGGCCCCACTTTATTACCGCTGGCGCCTACCGTGACACAAATCTTGATTACGCTGCTCCATTCATACATCACAAACGTGCCAAGCCTCTCTCCATGCCGCCTATAAATACCTACACCATACTTGTCTGCAAAATGGTTGGACGATACGAAAATGACTCGGAACATTGATATTGGACATCGCAGCACAACATTATTGCCCACAGGGGAGAATGATATTGCATCGGACTTGACCCAATAGAATCCAGCAGTACGGAGTACGGTGCTGGCTTGTTGCCCTTCCTCACAGCTGGCCAGCTGGGTTTCTCAGCGGCTAGACGCCAGGCAGCAGCTTTGCTAAAGAGGCCAGGTCAACTAGAACAGTGCAGCCCGGAAATTTCACATGGACACGCCAATAAAGGCTTTACATTGGCGACAATACCAATCCAGGTGAAACGTGAACATGCCACCAGCGGCGCTTCGTCAAACTGACGGAGCTATTCGAATTTGCCAATATGTTGTCTGAAGCAGGGTATAAGTAGTTGGGCTGGCCGAGGGATCGGACAGTCTCTTGTCAATATGAACTCCATCCCATTTTTGGTGTTCCCGCTGTCCCCAAGTACTCTTCGACCTTTTTGTCTTTTGTTTTGGTATCTCAATTCTCAATGGCATCTTCCGGCTCTGTGCGGAGAGCCCTAGTAGTTGTTGGCAAGGTGTCAAAGGGCCAGGTCCTGAATGCCAACGCCAAACTCGGCAGCAATTGGCTTTCAGCACTGGATATTGCTGAACAAACTGCACAGGCAGACGTAAGCAACCCTTCATTCTGGATTTCAGAATGTGACGTGGAGTAGCCGCTGACACCCCTGCAGTACCCAAATATTACTGGCATGGAGATTGCGTACGTTTCTTCATAAGACACCGAACCCAACTACCCCAATAATAAGCATGCTAACAAAGGGTATCAATAGCGGCGCTCTGGCTCATCAGTCCCATCAAGTTCAGTCCCATTCCAACGTGCTCAGTGTCAAATTCTTTGAGGGGGAGGACAGGGTCATTTCTGGTCATGTTCATATGAATGGGCGTGTCGACTACAGCAGGGAGCGTCTTCGCAGTGGCCAGAAAGAGCGATGGAAACCCACTAGAGACCAGGTAGACCAGAATTCCTGGACTGTGTACGACCCAGAAAAGAAGAAACACAGGAAAGTCTTTCAAGAACAGGGCTGGTTGTACATCGAGATAGGCGGCGTCAAAGTGTGGTTCTAGTTAAGTACTTAAGTAGTAAGGGACATCATCAATTGATGACGGACTATCAATACTTAGTGGGGACATGGACTCATTGCCCGCCATCTTCACCCCATCATTTGACAAGTCTGGTAGTACTAGTTTAATGCCAAGAGCAATTCAGGAGGTTAAATCCTAGTACTCTCTTCCGCGATAGCCCCGAGCCTCCTGATTCTCACGTCAATGTTTAAGCAAAGCGGCGCTTTGCTTGAGTCTTGCGGCTTCGATTAGATGTGCGGAAGGCAGGTAAAAGCTAGGGAGTATAGCTTCCCGCTTTACTTTTTTAATAAAAAGTTATAAGTATTATACTATTATAATTATAAGCTTTATATAATTTAAACTTTATTTATAATTAGTTTAAATAACTTTAAATTACCATAATTAACTTGAATTTAAAGGCCAATATATAGCTTTATAAATTATCGCGAACCTGCCGTATTGGTGTTGTAGACACCTTCCAAGGCCACCTAGTCCCACACGTCACCCGCACCTCTTTAACAGCTTCAACAGCGCAGCAGGTAAAAGGCTCGCCCCCGGCAGGGCCCTTGGAGGGCCTCCGGAGGGGAAAATAAAAAGAACGTTGAAGCTTTGATGCCCTGAGCATAAACTAGCGAGCTATTAGAAAACAGCGTAAGAAGTAGAATAGCTTACTAACCAGACACAAGAAGCATAACGTTATCACTACTTCTATTACCTTTAATTATATAATTATTAAGGTTAAGAAAGAACACAGGAGCTTCTGTCGATAGCTTACAAAGCCTGGCACAGGATAATTGCTGATGACGTTGTGCGTGGCAGTAAACCTAACATTTATTTATTTATTGTTGTCCGGTACACTAGTTAGTAAATTATGCTAATTTCTAGTACTTTTACGTTTAAACTTATCAGGGGAAAACCTTACATATGTACTACTCGGCTTGAGTTGCCTTGTGTGGATTGGTGTAGCAGAGTCCATGATGGTCGGACGGATAGGTCGCACCATCATTTGCGGGAGCACTATGAAAGGGTCTGGTCGGATGTAATTTTGACTTGGGCAATGGCCAAAAACAGCTTTATATCATTTGCTTTATTGACTGTCGTAGCCGCCTCTACGATGGGCTCACGAGGAACTGGATAGGTGAATAAAGACTCATTCCCCGATATTCCCATGTAGACGCGACTTGGAGCTCTAAATTAATTACATACCCGTGTCTATTGGCAGCCAATTAGTTGGATATGGGGGGTACCATCCGTCTCTTCATGGTCTAGACATACCACTTCGTCCTGCGGCGACGTTGAAAGACAGTCTGGCACACGATGGATTCCGTCTAGTGCAAAAGAACTCTACGACGGTTTTCTCAACCATCATCTCTTGAGAACCGGAACCATGATGCCACGGAGTATTTGAGTATTTTCGTCGATGTAGTACTCCTCCCGAAGGATGTTCATGGTGAGAGACTCAGCGTCAGTCTCACCACCGTCGACAGCTGGTTTACGCTGCAGGCGATAGTCTAGAGACTTGCGTCGGCTTCGAACTCGCGTGTCCACTTGTTGAACAGGTTCTGTTGGGGCTATAGCGGGAGTTGCTGAAAGTCAATGTAATTTTCGCAGGCATTCGAGTCGCCCAGGCATTTTTTAAATAATTCGTCACAGGCTATTCTCTTGTCTCTCAAGAGAGTCTCGAGGTGGGCCGTGGGAACCGGAGGCGTGGTTTCGCACATGTTTGGCAGGATGCTATTTTCACACACCTATATCTTGCTTCGTCAAGATTATGATGCATGAGTCAGTATTACGCCTTTTCCTTGTCGCAGAGCGGACTATTGCGTTTATATAGACTTATAGCAATGCCTCCTAGCCGTTTGAAGTGAGTGGGAAGCCTTTGTCCTGACACCTCGTCACTGGCCTAATTTCACATCTCGTCCTTTATGAAATGTCCCTAGAGGTACGCAATCTTTTCATTGGATTAGTTTGTTTTTCATGGATAGTCTACATTTTCGGATTTCAGTCAATCATTCATCAGACTTGAGACTGCGCAGGGCAGATTTCTCTGCGCACCGCTAGCCTGTCTTCTTGCCAGCTGAACTACTAACAGAAGTCCCCGTCTTTTAGTAAAGCTGTCACTTCAACAAAGACGCAACTGTGGACAAGCTGCAGATCCAAGTTTCACACAAGCCGCATGTCAATGATCAATATATGAGAAATACTCATAGAAATTCATGACCGCGTGCCCATTAGTGATATGGCTTGTCAAAAAGTCTCGAGCGCCCAAACCGTCCATGTAAAAATGGGAGTGTAGGGTATAGGGTCAGCAGTGTCCACCTTTTTTTCTTCGGATGAAGGCACCAGCGCAAAGCAATTGGACCCTGTTTACGGAGTACTCCGTGCAGTCTACTTACATAACACGCAGCCAATCATGAAACTCCCTCTTACCCTTCTTAGGCCGATACGTTCCGAACGCTGTTTGAATTGCGCCCTACAGACTAACCTCTCAACCTGACCAGCGACCGATTTTTCGCAGCAATCCAAGCTCTCTGTGCCACGAACCATAGCCACGTCGAGCTTCATGGCCACCGAGATGCTACCACGATTTCTACTGCCCCGGCTAAGCTGGAACGCACCACTCACTGCCTCCCGCGCAACTCGGCCCTTTGCCGCCCTGCGAGCAGCCAGCACCGCTCCGCCATGGCAGAGCTCCCTGACAAGCTTCAACGGCGAATCGTCGCCTCGACGTCCATCGCCGGCCAAGCCCAGCCCAGTCCTTTCTCGTCTTTTCCACGCGACCGCCCAGCGACAGCGGGACCACCACTTCGACACGCTCAAATTCGTGAAGCGGTTACAAGGGGAGGGCTTCACAGAAGAGCAGTCGGTCGCCATGATGAAAATGCTCAACGATGTCATTGAAGAAAGGTGAGCCGCGGACACACGCCGACCCCGTAGATGCCGCAACTCCTGACACCCAGCGCCGGCAGCATCCAAAACTTGACCCGCACAATGGTCCTCCGCGAAGACGCCGCCAAGGCAACGTACACCCAGAAAGTCGACTTTGCCAAGCTCCGCTCCGAGCTCCTCTCTGCGGACAGCACCGAGACCAACACCACGCGCAGCTCCCACGAGCGTCTCACAAACGACATTGCCAAGCTGAGCAGCCGGCTGCGCGACGAAATTTCGCGGACGCAGGCCAGCGTTCGGCTCGACTTGAACTTGGAGAAGGGCCGCATCCGCGAGGAAGCCGTGGGCCAGGAGCTCAAGATCAAGGAGACGGAGACCAAGATCGAGCAGGAGGTGGCGGCCTTGAGGGAGAAGCTGGAGCAGGTCAAGTTTCAGACGCTGCAGTGGCTGATGGGTGTTTGTACGGGTTTCGCCGCGCTGATGCTGGGTGCCTGGAGACTGCTCATGTAGGCGGCAGCGGTGACGGGACTGCGAGGGTTTCGTGCACAAGATTGCATTTGAGTTGCTGAGAGGGTTGGCGGAGTTGGTTTCGGCGACGGAGCATGGAAGAGATAGACAGCGACGCGAGTTGAGTGGTGCGCCTTTGGCTGTTGTACACGGCTGACCTGCCCGCCGGCAGGCTTTTCATATGTCATCAACAACGGTAAAATAAAACTAATTGAGCACATGCAGAAATTGCAGTCTAGCAGTAGGCTGTGTTGACATTTCTTCCGTGCACCTCGGCTCGGCATCTGGAAACTTGACCACGCGAATGCCAGATATCCTACATGTACACGGCAGTTCAGAGTACCGCCACGGCCGCCGCCTGTATGTCCTGGAGCCTTTAAAAAGCCCTTACCAGAACAATCGATAAGTCGGTGTCACTACTCGTCGCCCTGATCCCGCCGGCCCCTCTATGAAGTCAATGTCGCCGCCACGCACCCCTTCGGGCAATGTTCCTGGGCGTCCTTCGCCGACCCCCGCCATATTGAACCGGACTGCACTTGACGCCAGGGACGAGCTACCCCGCCGATGACGGAGAGGGCGCGGGGCTCTGTCAAACAAGGGCAGAAGAATCAATGCTTCACGTCATGACATATAATATGCCATTCCTATCTTATCTCCCAGTTTTCGACCTTTATGTTATACCCGATCCTGAAGCACACACAGATCAAACATCATCGTATTCATAGTGAAGCAAACATCCTCCAGAGCAATTGACCCAGCAACACCATCAACCCCTCCCCAGCACTCACCATGACAAGCAAGCCCAAGGTCCTCCTCCTAGGAGAAATCGAACAGTAAGCACACCTCCCCTCCAACCCATACCAGCAACAATACATCCTACATCTCCAATCGCAAGCAAGCCAAGCTCACACCCCCCTTCTCCCAGCGCACACACCGCATGGTCCCAAATCGCATCCATCGCCACCGTCCTCACCCCCAAAGCCACCAACCGGACAGCCTTCATCGCCGAATGCAAATCCGGCGCCTTCGACGGCGTCAGCGTCGCCTTCCGAACCTTTGACTCCTTCAGCATAACAGGCAAGATTGACAACGAATTATGCGACGCTTTCCCCAAGACCCTCAAGTTCATGTGCCACAACGGTATGACCGCCCCCTTTCAACTCCATCACAAAACCCCCCCTAACGCCCTCACCAGGCGCCGGCTACGACCAAGTCGACATCCAAGCATGCACAGCCCACTCGATCCGCGTGTCCAACACACCCACGGCCGTCGACGACGCCACCGCCGACGTCACAATCTGGCTGCTCATCGGCGCGCTGCGCAACTTCCCCGTCGGCATGGCGGCCCTCCGCGCCGGCGACTGGCGCGGCACGACGCTCCCCAAGCTCGGCCACGACCCGCAGGGCAAAGTCCTCGGCATCCTGGGCATGGGCGGCATCGGTAGGAACGTGGCCGCCAAGGCGCGCGCCTTCGGCATGACGATTCGCTACCACAACCGCTCCCAGCTGCCGCCGGCGCTGGAAGACGGCGCAGAGTACGTCCCCCTTGAGAGGCTCCTGGCCGAGAGCGACGTTCTGAGCCTCAATCTTCCTTTGAACGTGAGTCTTGCCCATTAGTAAACTTGTTTGACTACTGCCCCCCCTTCTTTCTTTTGATTTGCCTCTTGGGGCGTTTGGGCACTGAAACAAACGGTCGTAGCCTCACACTCGGCATACCATCTCCACCGACCAATTCGCCCTCATGAAGCCCGGTATTGTCATTGTAAACACGGCCCGCGGGGCAGTCATGGACGAGGACGCGCTTGTCAAGGCCTTGGATTCCGGCAAAGTCGCCAGCGTGGGTCTGGACGTGTACGAGGAAGAGCCCAAGATTCACCCTGGTCTGATTGACAATCCAAACGTGCTTCTTGTTCCGCACATGGGGACGTGGACAGTCGAGACGCAAACCAAGATGGAGGAGTGGACTATTAGCAATGTCAAGCTGGCACTTGAACAAGGTGCCCTGAAGAGCATTGTCCCCGAGCAGAAGGATATGGCCTAGATAGATGTCATTCGATTTGGCGACAAAGGTATTGGTCCCCTCTGTCCTAGTGTACATATAGACCCCACTGGCAAAGACGCAATTAGATTACATATACGGAGTAGCTCACTTCACAGATGGGACGATGATACTGTCATCTTGTTCAGCATACTAAGCCATCGTTGTGAGGCTTGCTGTTATTATTGACGAGACCAACTAACTTCTATTGGCCGCGGTTGACGGGCCTGTTTCCGCCAACACGCCTCGAATCCGAGACTTTTCCTTTCCCTTCCGATACACATTTCCTCTTAGAACCTCGCCATGGGGGGATATCATATCTAGCAAAAAGAGCCAACGCCATTTTGTTGAAAAAGCACATCTTTTTTTTGCCGCCTCCTGTCCGCCCAGCGAGATGAGTCCCCGTCTTCTTTATAAATAGGGATGAGGATCTCAGATAAGCAACAAAATTTCATGAAATATGAAAAAAAAAATTAAACCAAAAATACCGAAACTCTCCCAACCTGTATGCCATGCAAGTTTATGCTGTTGAATCCACAATTTTGCCCCATTGCCGTGATTGAACAACGGCGCAAGTCGTTACACGTAGGAATCCAGTTGAAGGACCCTTGGGTATGAATACATTAAATTAGTAGCGGTAGATCTCACCCTTGAAAGGACCCTCGACGGTGAGGCCAAGGTATTCAGCCTGGACCTTGCTGAGGGTGCTGAGCTCAGCCTGGACATGGTCGAGGTGGAGACGAGCGACCTCCTCGTCGAGGATCTTGGGCAGGACATAGACGCCAACATCGAGCTTGCCAGTCTTGGCAAACTCAACATACTTCTTTCCGAAAGCCTCGTCATTGGCCTTGTACAACATGATCTGGGCAAGGACCTGGTTGGTGAAGGAGCAAGACATGACGAAAGAGGAATGGCCGGTAGCACAGCCAAGGTTGACGAGACGACCCTCGGCCAACAGGATGATGTGGCGGCCGTTCTTCATCAAGAAGCGGTCAACCTGGGGCTTGATGTTCTGCACAGAGGCAGCGTTGGCCTTCAACCAGGCAACGTCAATCTCGATATCGAAGTGACCAATGTCTGAGAGGCATGTCAGTTAGTGGCTTTCACGTATTCGGGGCGTAGGTCGGGTTATGACGTGGAACTTACTGCAGACAATGGCATCGTTGGGCATAGCCTCGAAGTGCTCGCCAGTCAGGATGTCACGGCAACCAGTGGTGGTGACAAAGATCTGACCAATCTTGGCGGCCTTCTCCATGGTGGTGACCTGGTAACCAGCCATGGCGGCCTGGAGGGCGTTGATGGGATCAATCTCGGTAATGATGACACGGGCACCCATGCCGTGCAGGGCCATGGCACAGCCCTTGCCGACATCACCGAAACCGGCCACAACGGCGACCTTGCCAGCAATCATGACATCGGTAGCGCGCTTGATACCATCAACAAGGGACTCACGGCAACCGTACAAGTTGTCGAACTTGGACTTGGTGACGCTGTCGTTGACATTGATGGAGGGGACAAGCAGCTTGCCATCCTTGAGCATGCGGTAAAGGTGGTGGACACCAGTGGTGGTCTCCTCGGAGACACCATAGCAGTCCTTGAGCATCTCAGGGTACTTGGTGTGGACAAGGCTGGTCAAGTCACCGCCATCGTCGAGGATCAGGTTGAGCTTGGCACCATCCTTGAAGGCGAGGAGCTGCTGCTCGAGACACCAGTTGTACTCCTCCTCAGTCTCTCCCTTCCAGGCAAAGACAGGGACACCGGCAGCGGCAATGGCAGCGGCGGCATGGTCCTGAGTGCTGAAGATGTTGCAGCTGGTCCAGGTGACTTCGGCACCAAGAGCAGTCAGGGTCTCGATGAGGACAGCGGTCTGGATAGTCATGTGCAGGCAGCCTGCAATGCGGGCGCCCTTGAGAGGCTGGTCTTGGGCGTACTTCTGACGGGTGGCCATGAGACCGGGCATCTCGTTCTCGGCGAGCTCGATCTCCTTGCGGCCAAAGGCGGCGAGAGACAGGTCAGCGACCTTGAACTTCTGAGCGGGAGCAGCCATTGTAGTGGTGAGGATTGTTGTGATGGATGGGAGGAAGGGGAGACTTGGATGGAGGATAAGGAAGGAGGAGGAGAAAACGGAGGGAGAGGAGAGGAGAATATAAGTATGAGGTTTTTAGGTGGTGCTGGCCTGACCCTTCAAGGCCTTCAAGGTACGAGGACGAGGGGCCGAACTCAGCCAAGCACTTGAGGAGGGTGGCGGGGCTTGGAGGGGTCAAACGCCGCAGTCAGAAACTTCAGTCAGACCAGACCTCGCCTGCACCAGTTGACAAGTGTGGCCACAGACGGCCCGCTGGTTCGCTGGTTCGTCGGCATCGGGCGGTGTGCGCCGCTGCGCAACCCACCAGACGCCAGTAATGAGGGGCAGCCATTCATTCATTGATCAATGTTGAATATTTTTTTGAAGAAGCGGGGCAAAGCTCAAGTCTCGCAGCCAGCTGTTCTGAAACCTCACTTGTGTCCCCGGCAACGACGCCACGAAGGCCGATGAATGACGCGGTTCCCCATCCCATCTCAGTCGCTGATCTGTCGAGACTTGGTTTTCATTTTAATATCTTTTTTTCCCCTGCATGCCAGGGCAATATTTCGGACAAGGCGGCGTATCTCGAGCGGTTGATTCTGCCGCTGCCCCAGCCGCCCACCTCCGCCGGAAGCAGTGCGCCAACATACTCCGAGCCTCCCCCTCGCAAACAGCAACGTTTCGGACATTTCGCGGCTCCGTCAAAGTCGTCCGAGTTCCACAACCCCAGGACAGCCATCCTACTACGTTGTTGAAGACTTAGTCCGGCCCGGATACAACTCTTTGCACACTGTCACCTAGTGTGTGGTATTTTTCGGTTGCTAATTGTAGCGCATCGTAGCCCAGTCCTGAATTTGCTCACCGCTCGCTTGTCATTGAATTCTCAAGTGTCAGGAATGAGACTCTTGCCCCATTTGCATCTCTAACCACCTTGACACAGTGGCTTGCAGCAACCTGGCCCCATAGCCTTCTGTCCGAAATGTTGATTCGATATCAGTGAGATGCATACTCTGCCTGCAGACAGAGGCTGTTATAACAACCATGTCTTGACAGCCCATTGCCCTGCCGGGAACTTGGACATACATCATAACCGCATGCGAGAGCTGAGGCATCATTACGGGCGGCTTTATCGACGAGAACAGAAACTTGCATAAAAATAAAAATAAAACACCATATAAATGGTTCTCTTGTCGCTAAATCTAGACAAAGAAAACTTCATTACATTCCCACAGTATCCGGAACGCCGCTAAATGCTACCCGCCAAAAGGTGCCATTTGCTTCCCAATTGTCCTCCTCTACTCTTTCATATAGTCCCAACTTCATTTCCCTTTTGCCCTTTCCAATCACATTTACTGCGGCATCAGGTTCTCCCGTACGGCAAACATCTTGGTTGTCACGTTGGAGGTGAATCCATCCACTTGCTTGCTGTATTGCTCGACCTGCTTGGCGTTCAGCATACCCTCAAGTCGGCTCGGCTCCTGGGGCATCTTGAACAGTCGCTGCCACTCATCCTCGGGCAGAGGAGGCTGTTTGGCCACAGCACGCTGAGCATTCTCAGCCTTCCGCTTCGCCTGCCACTGCGAAATCTTCGCCTGCTCACGGGTGACTTGGCGTTGAAAGAACTGGAAGTTATTGAGGTCGGTGTAGTGGGACTCGATGCTCTCAAGGAGCAAGTCGCACGTCTTCTCGAGGAAAGGATCAATGGAGAGGTCGAGGCTGTCGATAGAGGGATACAGGGGAGGCTTGACGGCGTCTCTCTTGAGGTCTGAAACTGAGTTGGGCTGCTCAATCTCCTCTTCGGCGGGAGGAGTAGGGATCTGGTGGAGGAACGAGGTGAGGAGGTGAGAGTTGTGCACGTTGATAGGCAGCTCAGCCAAAATATCGCGGAAAGTGAGCTTTGACTTTTGAAGGCTGTACTCGTAGATTAGTATTTTTGACCAGCAACACAATGTGGGGGTTTTGGGATTATCTGGTAATATCCATACCTCTCAGTTGTGAACTTGCCCTCCTTGTATGCAGCCATAAAGGTGCTGGTGAGACGGAATGCCCGCAGCGTCAGGTTCCCCTGAGAGCTCTTGCTAGTATCGTAGACAAGCGCGACAGTTCGGTCGTTGTCCTTTTGGTAGTGGTACTGGTTCTCGATGAAGCCCATGTTGACAAAGTTGCCCATGGTGGCACTGGTATACCATCCAACATTGTTGGCGTCGACATTCACCTCCTTCAAGTGTCGGATCATCTCATTCTGGTAGGCAATGTTGGCCTTCTGTCGGGGAGCAGCGGCTGCGATCTGGGAGGTATCGTTTTGGTGGCCCTCGGTTACAGCGCCTTCGACGGTAGGGAACTGGAAAGTGTTGGTGATCTCGAGAACACCATTTTGATCCATACCAACAATAGATCCTGTCGCAACAGTGGGAAACGTCGAGGAGCAGTGCTTGGCAATTTTCATGATCACCTGTTATTCCCTCGAAATCAGCAAGTCGTCCAGCATGCAGCATATGAGCGAGGTGGGGCTCGCTGGGAAATTTACAACTTACCAATGCCTCGACCTGGACGGTCTGGAAAGGCGCATCTTTCAAAGCGTCGCTCATCTTGTCCGATTTATCTGAAGACACGTGTCGAATGCCGTAGGTCACGAGCAGGGGCTATCGCGAGTATGCGGGCGGTTTAGATAATGGCGAGATCGCTTCGTGGATTGAATATCGAACTTTTCGCGTGTCCGATTTGTGGGCGTTGTGGGTTGGAAGCGGTGAAAGCCGGCAGAACGTGGTGGGGGGCCGACTTGGGTAGAGTCAGCCTCGACAGTTCGGTGCAGCTGCTGTGCAAGCTTGTACTTTTCACGTCACTCGTTCAGGGCACCAACGAGCTTACAAGCTGCGGCCATCAAATTGACATACGACATTAGCTGCAGATAAGTGCTGCCATCAGTTTCTGTTAACCATAGACGAATAGGATATCTCTTTCTATCAAATATACATCAATCAGTCAAGTTTCTCAGTACTGCAGTCGATGAAAGCGCAACCGTTACTCCATCCATGCTCACTACAGAATGCGCTGAAAATCATCGCAGACGCCCGCTATGTGCAATAAATCAACATCTCAATCGTGACGTCTGCTTGGCTAACTTCCAAGTTTTTCATTATCATCATTATGCACTGCCCTTTTCTTTGTTGCTGTTGCACCACTAACTAGGTGATGCAGCTTCCAACTTTACTCCCATTCGGTGATTTCCCAGCCGTCAACATTGTCGCGCACAGTCAAACGGTGCTGGTCAATCTTCCAGTAGGCGTAAAGAGAACGCGTGGCGCTAGCAGCCTTACGATGAGCCGGACCCCTCCCACCTTCTAAAGCATCTTCTCGGGATCTCCAGACACAGGTAGCCAGGTTTCGCAGTTCAGCATCAGGTGATCCAAACCAGTATCTATCTTCAAATCAGCATTGAGACGATGAGAAACGGGTGGATTTCAGCGATCTGCAGACGCACTTGAGGAAGCCTCCGCTGGCAACAGCTTCGGCATGTGCAGCTTTATCCAGTTCACCAAGATGACTGTAATCCGTGCTGGGTTTGATCTGAGAACGAAAGGCGACGATATAGAATGACGTCTCTTTGAAACCCTTGCCGGAGTTTTGAACGAGCTGCTTCAGTTCGTCGAGAACCTCTGGCCAGTTGAACGACTCAGTGTACGGCGCAGTTGCATAGTCCTCACGAACAGCCTGGAGGCGTGCTAAGGCTAGCGAAATAAAGGCGTTTTCACTGTCGAGTGATTCCAAGTCTAGGAGATGTTCAGTGTCAACATAGGGAGACTGAACAATAAACCGTTGCCCAGTCAATGCATGGTTGCGAAGCGCAGAAATGGCGTCCTTCTCCTTGGTAAAACTAGGAACGTCAGCGGGCAGTGCAGCTTTCAGTCCTTGAGCAGCCATGTTGATGGGAGCGGGGTGTTTCAGCAGCGACTTTTACAACGGGAGCGGCCCTAGGGGAGGAGTCAATAATGATGAAAGAATAACTACGCAGTTATGCCGAACGCTGGTAGAGGCTACTAAACGAATGGTCTACAAGGAAAGGGAGAAAAAAAGAGAGGGACATTGGGAAATGTGTGGGAAATACTCCTGCCATTTAAACAAGACGGAAGGAGGGATAGCTGGCAGCAGCAACTGGCAGTAACATTTTCTGGGCACACACCGCTTTGGCATGGCAAATCCTCGTCAGAAATAACGACACGAGAAGCTAGGACTCGGTAATGTCAGCAAACCTCCCGGTGTCAACCCGCATGGCGCTGGGGCAAGGATTAACTTTGTATCAGCTGACCAGTCACCGTGGCTGATAGAGTCTCAGTACCGATGAGGACGTCGGAGTCGAATATTTCGCAATTCTCGGACTAGCAAAGCCAAGAAAATTGATCCGTGCCGGGTGGCTTGGCGGATCCCCCATGAAACTCGAGAGCTTGAGTGGCTGTCAGTCACACTCGCCTTCTGGTGGAAACAGTCCTCCGGCCGACACCGGTGCGAACTGCCGTCGCCGTTGGATGAACGATGAGCGACGAATACGGTGAACACACAATATCTCCTGTCACTCCTATCGAGTACTCTTTACCTCGTCCAGCAATAATGGATCTAGGTTCGGCTACAGAATTCCGATCAAATACAAACGTCAAGCCCGGTGGCCGGGTTCCTGCACGCTGGCGTGGCCGGCTCATTGCCCCAGACCTAGTTAGTCGTTAGATTTCCGTCCTTGTGGGTCCTGCCGCCGGCACGACACTTGACCCTGGATCACACCACCGCACCATTTCACAACAGGCAATTGCATAAGCCACGCGAGACTCTAATAAGAGATGCTAATAGAAACGCAAGTACTATCAACTGAAACAACGGACCATATACAACCATCCTTACGAGCGGTTCTAAATTTTTACAGTGCGTCATGCAGCATGAAATTCTCCGAGGCCTTCGCTCGTCCTTCATTAATTCGTAAGGCTGACGCTGACCTTCCCCCCTGGACATCTTCAGATTGCCACACGCTCTCTTCTGCACTCTTCTCTCCGGTCGGCAGTCTCCATGTTATCGCCATGACTCCAAACTCCGGACTCAGCTATACCCCCATGAGAGCATAAATTAGTTTCAACACAGAATCGCCGAAATGATGTCAGTACATGCCGAGGGTCGATATGAGACCTAGGCAACTCGAACTGCCGCCACCAAGACATCCAGAGCACTCCCATGAGAGGCGCCATTGGCAGCAATGACAGGTCCTGTCCACGCAACGCCCATTTTGTTGGTGTCATCACGGTCTGTGTTCCATACTGAGTCAGCGTTCTTCAAGATGAAAGCCCTGATATCTCCATCTTTGAGAGCCTGATTCAAATATCCCAAGTTTCGGACGAAGACTCCCTTGAATTGCTTGCCGTCGAATCCGCAGGCCTCCTTTTGCGTCTCGCATTTATCTATCTCGACCAGAATGCCGTCCTTATTGGAGAGCGCCTGAATGGCTGCCATAGCTAAAGTTCTGGCAGTGTCAAGGACACCGGCGCCCAGTAGAGAGTCTCTCGAAAGTTCGGTCAACCCCCCCAATATTACACCTTGATTTACGGACCAAGTTTGTGAGCCATTGTTCTTGCAGTTTGAATCGAGACCGTCATTAATCAGATTCTGGCTATTAATCATACCGCTCTTCTGGAACCAGTGCCACTCATCTTTTGCAATCTGAGCGTACGTTCGGTTGGTAGGAATGCGATTAGCCAATGAAGCAGCAACTGTAATATGAAGTTCGTTGGCAATTGCGTTAACATATTCGCGATCCTTGTTCCAAAAAATCCCGCCTTTGCAAGGAGTACCACGGCCGGTTTGCATATTATTAAAAATGTCGGCCGCCGTTTCAAGATAGCTCGCATCTCTTGTTGCGTCATACGAGTGAATTAGCCCCAAGGCCCACCAGCCTTCGTCATCGTAAAACTGGTTAACGAAACCAGGGAACTTTTTGGGGGCATTTTTTACTGTGTTGCCTATAGTGTTGGCGATGCCCAGTGACTTTGCGGCTCCAGGCTGCAAGACGGCAAAGTCAGCGAGGGTTGTGAGGGCATTGGCACTTTGCCACCAAGCATCATCCCACAAACCGGTGTCTTGCTTGTACCAGTTACTGTTGAGAGCCTTGATGGCAGTGGATGCTTCCCGGGTATACTGTGCCTTGGTAGCAGACTGCACTTCTTTGGCGAAGAAGGAAGAAGCGAGGGCTAGGTACGAGGCTAAGCCTGTGATTGAACACTTTGACACCATGTGGAAAAGTGGAAGGCTGGATCTCAGAATATATGGAACTTGAGAAGGGGGATAACAATACAAAAAGCTTCACAAATTTAGACGAGCGAAGTTGCGGTTCGAATGAAGCGTGTGGCAGCTATATAGATGGCCTCTGGACTACAGCATCTCTAGTCAACACAGATCAGCGATGCTGTCTCGAACTATGCTTTGTTCTGTTTCGAAATGCGAAGCTGCACATCGAGGCCACGCTAAGGAGAGATAGATGGAAGACAAAATGGGTCGACTCAAACCGACCATGACTGTGCCGGCTAATACTACCATTCCCTGTCAAAACCAAGCTACGATGCAAACAAAGCGCCATCCATGACATATGTAAAATGTATACCCCATAGTGAGGGATGGATACCTTGGACCTTTGTTTGATTGACCACACTTGCGGGACTGTTGACGCTGAGAGATTCATGATATATGACAGAGCTCGAGGGCTCAGACCAAGCGCCACAACCCCAAGGGCGGCTTCTCGGAAATAGGACATTTTGAAGGGCTCATCGAGGATTTAGCTAGGCGGTTGGGCGGCTCAATTTGAGTCATGGGTAGTTGGACGATCTCAACCGCCCTTGCGATCAGTTATCAGTAGGCTTCGGCCGGTTCATGCTGATCGTCGAGGGCGATCAGCACGGATGTCTTAGTTGAGCCTGGCTTCAGTCTCAACTCACGGACACGTATGACGAGACGAGCATGACGAATAACAAGAACGAATTGATATGGGTATGTCTGAGTACCTACAACCCCTCCTTGGGTCCAAAGTTTAATAACATAGCATAGTTGTGTTGTAATCTGTTGTCTGTATACTGCTTTGCAGAAGTCAGACAAGAATAACAAAGAATAACGTTACTCGCTCTGGAAACCGAAAACAAAGAGCAACTTGCAGGCGCTACTCCGTTGTTTCAAGTGCAACAAAGAGCCTTAAGCAAAAACACCACCAAGTTACTTTGCGGGGCAGCCACCTGAAAGCTTGAGCCAACTTTAGAAACTAATACACGATAATGGTCCCATTTCGAATTGCCGGAGTTCTCAAGATCTGGTCAATCCATCATGTGAATCCCTTGGCACATTGGCATCTTGACCCTGTCACATGGAGCCTTCCGACTTATTTAGCCTCTTCTGCAATACCTCTAGGTGCCTCGAATACAGCTACGAGCCCAATGTTCACATATCGACTGACATCCTGGTGCAGACACATGGTGCGATGTGATTCGAGCCACTTCAACACTGAGTGGCGTCAGGGTAACATCGCTAATCTCTCAACTTGTCTTGTATACCTCCCTTTGGCGGGTGCTCTTCCAACGTCTACGGGAGCATGAGTAGAAGCGGCGTATGACTGGGGTGTTTTCTCGCCCCATCACCACAGGATAGACAATATTTCCAGATGCGGAATAAAGCAGACTTTTCCACGTCACTCGTTTATACTTCCATAAAACTCATTTAACACTATGATTGGCCTCCACCGTGGTGCTGTACATCATCTGTAACTCCAAGTCACAATCGTCCAACCCGATCTACAACGACCTTGCCCCGCGAACAGTCCCCTCACGATATCACAACGCCGCCAAATCATCGCCATCCATACCGCTCTTTCTCCTCCGCAACCACAGCTTCGCACCATCATACGTCCCCAAGTACAACGAACTCCCCAACGCCGTCCACCCGGAACGGAACAGCGCCCCGCGAAAGAATCCCACGAGCCCTCGCTCGTTGTAGATCTGCCTCGTCACCGTCCACGAGGCCACTCTCCCATTCTTCCCTCCGCCCTCACCGCTCCGACAACCCGGCCTCGCCGCCGTGAGCATCATCCTCGTCTTCACAACATCACTCGGCGTGGTGACCCATGCCGCAACAGCCCCGGCGCCCCCCGCACTCGCACCCGCTACCAAACCCATCTCCAGAACCCCCCTCTCCTGGCTGCCTCGCTGACGTCTCCTCTCCCAAGCCCACGAGCGCAGATGCTCGAAAATCGGAAACTGCAGCGCTGTAAATGGCAAGTTGCGCGCTACAAGCGCCGTGTACCCCGTGAACAGCCTCCTCGGCGCGTCGCCAGCGGCAAGCTGCCTCCAGGCCTGAAGGGACGTGGACGTGCGTGACTTGGTACGGTCCTCACGGAGAATTTGGGCGTTTTGCTTGATGACTTCTGCGGGGGCAAGGACCAGACACGATGCCAGTTCGGCGGTCGCCGAGGCGGACGCGTGGACGAGGGATTGATGCAGGGGTAGGTTGCCGATGACAGCTTTGGCCTTTTCGTACGTTGAGAAGAAGAGACCGGCTGCAAAGGTAAGTATGTGTGTTCAATGCGGGTGAGCGTGGGTTGGAGCAATACCTGCTGGGAGTGTGGCCAGGACCACGCTCCCTATCCCTTGGTACAAGCCCCTGGGGGCCAGTGCTTTCCGACTGGAAGTCCCATATGCTGAGAGGTAATCTTGGCTTTGGTAGCGGGTCTTGAGGGTGTCAAGCGGATAAACGAGGACGTCGACGGTGAATGCGGCGACGGCGCCGGCCTGCAGGCGTTAGATTGTGTGTATTGAGTCGGTAGAGTTGAGGCGCGTACGGCATATATTTCCATTATACCATGGCTTTCCTACTGTGAAATACGTCTTATCTGTCTCTATGCACGTGCGATATGTCTATTCACGGTGATCAAGCGCCGTGAGGTGGTGAGTTGAGGTGGTGTTGATGATGGTCGATATATGACATCATCAACTTGCAGGACCACACAACACCAGACTACAATCGATATAAGACGACGAGACGTCTCAAATAGTCATTACCATCAATCAGTATATGCATGCTAATACCTATGCCCGACACACGCTCACATCGCATACTACCCCAAAGTCCCATGCGAGTCTCCGCCGAACCATACATTAACCAAGCTAAATGTTGCTTTGCGCATTCCTCTATAATAGTTCTATGCCATGCCCAAATCCAGACCAAACCAAGTAAAGGAAACAAAGGATACACATTTATTTTCTTTCTTTAAAAAAAAAAAAAAAAACCAAATGCAATCCTTCGGCATAATTATAGCTTGCTTCGAGATCCGCTGTTGTCCTCTGAGACAACCACCACCACAGCACAAATGTCATCGACTTTGCCGCCGCGCCACTGTTCATGTGGGTAATATTTCTGCACTTCCTTTGCAAACGGCCCGTCAACCTTGGTGTTGATACTAGCCGTCTTCGCGGCGCCAACTATTTCTGTGGCAAGTAGACTCTGCAAGGTAACGGTTCTAGGGGGCTTGCCGTTGGGCTCAGCCTCGGCGAGGCTCGCGGGCCTCGTTAGCGAATCGATGGAGTCGGCGACGCGTACTCCGCCGGAGGGGGTCATTTGCCAGGCGCCGCTGGAGACCATGACGCGGCTGGCGATTTTGAGAATGTCGTGGTTGAAGAGGTTATCTAGAACACCGTCGGTAGCAAACATGAGCACGTCGCCGTGGCGGACGTAGTGCTGGGAAACGTCTGCGTCGCGAGGCAGATCGCTTAATTGCGCGCCGCCAAAGGCCGCCATTCGTGCAGCGACGCTTGGTGGGATGAGGGATAACTGAAACGGGGTGTTGAATGCGTGGGTTTGCGGTTCTGAGTAGGCGTTTACGGCGTTGAGACGAAGTTGTAGGAACCCCGAGTCGCCCAGGTTGGCTACGTCCAGCGTTCCGTCTGGGGCTGCTATTCCGACGCAGGCCGTACTACCGCCAGCCTGTAATGAGCGGTCGTTGCACACAGCGTCGTATCCCTGTTGCATGAGTCTCCTCGCTGTCAACGGCGGGCTGTTCGCCGGATCGTGCTGGTATGCCGATGCGGCCATGTAGTCGCAGAAGCCATGCGAGAAGTCGGCCGGGTCGACGCCCGAATCCACCCAGCCACCGACGCCGTCTGCGATACCGAAAGCTACGGATCCAGAGTCGTTGATGCGGCTGACGAAGAAGGCGTCGTGGCCCGAGTCTGGCCGGGAGGAGCGCCGCCGGTGACGGGGCGGTTGGATTCGGTTGTATGGGTTGAAGTGGAAGACGTGGGTGGATGGGTCGTAAGGTCGGTCTTTGCCGATGAAGGAGGCGGCGATGTGGTATGAGAATCGGGGGGACGTTGGGAACGATGCTGAGGATGTTGAGTATGGCGATTTTCGCGGAGCGTCTGGTGTTGGCTGGCGCATGGCTAGCGCGTAGGTGTGCGTTGTATAAGTAAGAGGAGAGACTGGCGAACCGCAGACAGCGTCAGCTCGGTTCATCGTTATCGAAGAAAATACCATAAAATACGAGAAAAGCACATTCGGTTGCTGTTACCTCTAAGTGATGCCCGCCATGGTGTTGCGGTCGCAACCCTGGCGCTCAATGCAGCCATCTGGGTTGGGTAAGAAGATTTTTGACGCACAAGTGTTTGGCGTGGGAATGCGCGACGGCGTAGCCCTTGGAACAACAAGGATATGCTCGTGCGATTGCCCAGCTGCCTGCAAGGACTTAGATGAGAAGAACCGCCATGATGGGTCTGGTGAGAATTTGCATCGACGTCGCGCGCGCAGGGGCTAGGAAAATCTGGGGAGGCGAGATATCAACTGTCTGGTTGAAGTGGTCTTGTCTGGCTGGTCGATTGATAATTGATTGCGTCGATACGCGGGGTCTGGCGCTGTAACTTGGTTGGAAAGCCCTGGGGGCCAGGGATTACAGGTGGCTGCTGTCGTGGGATAGGGAACCGCTTGGGGGGGTTACAGGCCTCCTTCCTGACATCACCAGGCGATTGCCTGCACGTGGCGTCAGTCGGTCGACCCCCATCGAGCATGCTGTGCAACCTTGGGAGTTTGTAGTGGGGCCCAATTGCAGACTTGCCTTACCTAATGTCAATTCCCCGGAACCCCGGACCCCAAGACCTACCGTGGGTTCTGTGGCCATGCAATTTGTTACCCGCCCTTCACCCGGCGGTCACAAGCCTCTTCCCGGCTTTCTCCTTCTTAGCCGAATTGACAATGTCGCGGTCCTGATTGGCCGCCGGATACTTTGCGGTCCAGCGTCCCAGTAGCCGAGGATGGCTACTAGTACTTTCGACTCCCAATTTCATGGGCGAACACACACCAACATTCTACGTCTCTGTCCAGCTCCAACGGCGCGATACGAGCGGCGGAAATCCGGAATCGTTGGTGCCAATTGAACAAGTCCGTCCCGATTTCAGCAACGGTTGTCGCTTCAACTCTCTTCTCTGCTCTCTACTCTCTTCTCTCGTCGCTCGCCGACTTACCTTTCCCGCGTCGCGAAAATGGCTGCTCTCCGCTCTACTTCTTCCCGAATCCTTGGCTCGTCCATCAGGACAGCCATGCGCCCTGGCGCTGTCTTCACACGCTCAATGGCATCTGTCAGCGAGGCCCCTCATGAGAAGGCTTCAAACATGAAGACATTCCAGATCTACCGATGGAATCCCGACACCCCTACCGAAAAGCCTCGAATGCAGTCCTATACCATTGACTTGAACAAGACTGGACCCATGATCCTGGACGCCCTCGTCCGTATCAAGAACGAGCTCGACCCTACCCTGACTTTCCGAAGAAGTTGCCGTGAGGGGATCTGCGGTAGCTGTGCCATGAACATTAACGGCCAGAACACCTTGGCCTGCTTGTGTATGTATTACCACATCATGTGCTGCACTCATAATATCCCAGACTTGTCTCAGCTTGTGCAGGAGGCTATGCAGACATAATGAAGCTGACCACCATTGTACAGGCCGAATTCCCGCCGAGAGCTCTAGCGATGTCAAGCTGTATCCACTGCCTCACACCTACGTCGTCAAGGACCTCGTCCCCGATTTGACCTACTTCTACAAGCAGTACAAGTCTATCAAGCCTTATCTGCAGCGCGACACTCCTGCTCCTGATGTAGGTTGAATTTCTTGGCAACCGTGGGGGAAAAGAATTGGCTTGGCTAACAATTTCCCAGGGCAAGGAATACCGCCAGAGCAAGGAGGACCGAAAGAAGCTGGACGGTCTGTACGAATGCATTCTCTGTGCCTGCTGCTCAACATCCTGCCCTTCATACTGGTGGAACTCAGAGGAATATCTCGGACCTGCTATTCTGCTCCAATCTTACCGATGGCTGGCCGACTCCCGAGACGAGCGCAGTGCCGAGCGTCGTGCCAACCTGGAGAACAACATGAGCCTGTACCGCTGCCACACCATCCTCAACTGCACCCGTGCCTGCCCCAAGGGCCTGAACCCCGGCAAGGCTATCGCCGAGATCAAGAAACAGATGGCATTCGCGTAAGCGGTGTGAAGGTTTCTCGTTGAATGGATATGAATTGGTGGAGGCTTCATTTATTTTCACTTTGTCAAGGTGTCTAGGGCTGTTCCGGCGGAATCAAAACGGTCGTAGATGTGGAGGTATAAGGAGGGGATAAACATGGCCCCTGTGTACAAGCATGAGTAGTGTACGTCTATGTCGATAGGCAGCAGCAACTTGGAGAATTTTTTTTTTTTCGTGTTCATATAACCAGCACGTCTTTTTTTGCCCTCCGAGCCTCGCCGTCCTTGGTCTGCAGTCTCGGCAGACAAGCGTCCCAGATGTGTCGAGTGAGCCGTTGGTAACACATTTGATTGTGTTAAGCGACGTGTAGGTGTCAAGTGTTGCCGCCAGTAGCCACATCCATCTTCACAGAAAAAGCCCAAAAACATGCCTACGCACTAGGTACTTACTCAGAGGCACCCGAGGAGGTGGCCGTGTGGCAACAGACGAGGTCGCTTCAACGCCGTATACTCCCGATGTCGTTCTCAAGTCCCGCGAAGGTGGCAATAAGTCTGATACGACATTGTAGTATAAGACAGGATTATCTGGTGGATGTACAAAATCTGGCATCGAAACGCTTTTTGTTGCTGACGGCTTGTACAACACAATCTAGCTGGTTGATCGAAATATCGCGCAATGAGAGAGGAAATCGCCGCTAACAAAGAAGCACGCGCGCGCAGTGGAACAAGTCTACAACGGTGCGATCATCACCGTGCAGGACGTAGGGTCAATGACTTGTTAGTCCATCCCTATATGTATGCTTGCCGCCGCTTCGGGACCGCTTTATCGACTGGGCAACCGGCGCGTCTTGCTTGATCACCCTTTGATAAGAAATAGTCGGGAGTCGGGTTGCTGGTTCACGTGCTACAACGTGTGTATGTCGAGATTGGAAGCTATGGATCGCATGAATATGGACATGTCATCGATTGAACCCACCCACCTTGGAAAGTGACAATTGAAAAGGACAGATTTGTTAGCTACCTTAGGTAGGTAGATAAGTTCGCTAGCCAGCTTCTACATTAAGCTTACAAGCTACTTAGTAGGTTGAGCGGCCTAGACACGAGGCCCAGATAATGAATCACTGGTTGGCATAGCACCATTTAGTTGTGTGATGATATTTAGATTTTTGCGGCGCGTCTAGCCGGCTTGATGCTCATGTTGGCCGGGGGAGTTTGATAGTAGATTCGTCCTTGGGAGATATATAAGTCTGGTCGATCCTGCACTTTGTGCCAGGCTCATTTTTCTGATGCATTTGTGTGCTACTACGAAATTTGATTTTATGAGACAAGATGAAGTTGACACGCACTCTA